AGTGAGCATACCACATACACCCCTGGACAGCAGGGAGACAGCCCAATTATTAAAGGATGTCACTCTGGGGCATAACACATTTTAGCATAAAAAAATCCTAATCTAAGTTTAAAGAAACCAAGAAAATCTGGATGGAAACGGTGGCATTTCTAAATACCACAAACATTTTCTTCATCTTACCATTAACATGTTCTTTTCTAAAATTCTTTGCAGTGCCTAGAATAGTATTTAAACAAATACATATGATTGACTGTTAGTACTATAGACACTATAGGTTTTCATCAAACAGCTGTCATGGCCATAAACATTTCGTTCTTCTGCAGAGTCAATCAGCACCTCCTCACCAGGGCCCAGCGTAGCACGCATTTCAAAGGAGACCCTAGATTTCAAAGAAACTGATAAGTCATACATACTGCCCTTTTCCTTCCCCACAAGAAAAAACACACTGGGAATGTTTCCACTTTAGGTTTTTCAGCAATGCTTTAATGTTATTAAATATATCAAAACATCATCAAAAGAAAAATGGATTTTCTTGAAAAGCCTTACACAATAGAATTTTATTTAGAAAAAAATCAGTTAGTTATGTATGTAGTTTTTGTATTTAACATATTAATTTACACCTAAAACTAATACTAAGTTATATGTCAGTTATATCTCAATTTTAAAAATGATCAGGAAATAATTGAATTTGGCCATTTCATTCATTTGTTCACCAAATATTTGCTGAATGCTTATCCTAAGAGCTAGAAATAGATTAGTAAACAAGTCAGCTAACATCCCTGCTCCTACGGAGCTTCATTCTAGCAAGAAAGAGGTAGGTGGTGTCGAGCGCTAATGAAAGAAAAAAGGCAAGGTAAAGGGACAGACAGGACAGAAAGGGGTGCTATGGTGTCTCTGGTAGTTAGAGAGGGTCTCTCTGAGAAAGTGACATCTGAGCAGCAGTGTGAAGAAATAGGGGCAGCAAGCCAGTATCTGGGGTGGATGGCAGCATTCCAGGCAGAGGAACAGTAACAGCAAAGGCCCAGGGCGAGAGCTTTCCTCGGAGGTCTGAGTAAAGCAGGGAGACCAGGATGGTGGGACTGAACAAGTGCACAGAGTGGCAGGAAATGAATTCAGGATGGCAGTTGAGGCTCATATTGGATAAGACTTTATTGGTAATGGTGAGGATTTAGGTTATATTCAGAATAAAATGTAAGCCGAAGAGTGACATGATTATGTTTCAAAAAGATCCTTTTTTAATTTCTTGAGGAACCTCCATACTGTTTTCCACAGTGGCTGCACCAATCTGCATTCCCACCAACAGTGCACAAGGGTTCCCTTTTCTCCACATCCTTACCAGCACTTATTCTTTGTCTTTTTCATAATAGCTGATCTGACAGGTGTGAGATAATACCTCATTGTGGTTTTGATTTGCGTTTCCCTGATGGTTAGTGATGTTTTGAGCATCTTTTCATATGCCTATTAGCTATCTATATATCTTCCATGAAAAATGTCTATTCAGGTCCTCTGCTCATTTTTAAATAGACTGTTTGTTTTTAGATGTTCAGTTATATGAGTTCTTCATGTATTTCATATATTAACCCCCTTATCAAATGTGTCATTTGCAACTACCTTCTCCTGTGTATTGACTTTTTGTTTGTTGATGGGTTCCTTCCATGTACAAAAGCTTTTTAAGTTGATGTAATCCCATTTTTTTATTTTTGCCTTGTTGCCCCTGCCTGGGGAGACATATCAAAAAAGATATTGCTAAGACCAATGTCAAAGAGTTTACTGCCTGTGTTTCATAGGCAGTAAAATTATGAAACTTCTAGGAGTTCCATAATTTCTAGTCTTACATTTAAGTCTTTAATCCATGTTGAGTTAATTTTTTATGTAAGAGGTACAAATTTCTAGTTACAAAATAAAGAAATTTCAGGGATGTAAAGTGCACAAGGGGAATGCAGTCACTGGTATCAAAATAACCCTGCACAATAGCAGCTGGTTACCAGACTTAGTGTGATAATCATCTTGTTAGACACAGTGATGTTGAATCACTATGATGACATCATAGTGATGTTAATGTGTAGCTACATTATACACCTAAAACTAATATTTAGTACATTAACTATATTTTAATAAAAATTAATTAAATAGATAAAATAAGAAGATCCTTCTGGCTGCCAAGCAGAGGAAGACCGAGGCAGAGGGTAGGCAGAATGGGTGGCAAGAGCAGAAGCAGGGAAAGCCATCCCAGGGCGACAGACGCCGTCCACGGGGGGCAGCAGCTGACCCAGCACAGTGAGGCAGAGCGGGGGGCCAGCGGTCAGGCTCTGGATATATTTTCCTGGTGGACTTGACAACATTTGCAAATTGGTAGGATGTGGGATGTGCATGAAACACAAGAGTGTTGAACGACTCTCAAGGGTGTGACTTCAGGCCCTGAAAAGTTTCAGCTGCCATCGAGCCTGACACAGCAGCAGAGTGGTGTGGGTGAAGGTGGAGAAAGGTGAGGAATGGGGAGATGGTCTGGGGCACATTAGGTCTGATATGTCACCAATAATTTGAATATTGACACAAGGTGCCGACTGGTAGCATGTGTTTTGCTTCAATTAAAATAAATGTAAATTAGGAGCATATTGCCAAGTATCTTAAAATCTTTTCAAATTAGCAAAGTTATTCTGTGGGTATACCATCACTTATGTTTATAATAAAACTTACTGATACATCTTTATTTTTACTTCATAACTCATACCTTGATTTCTAAAACAGGGACTGTCACTGAAGACAGAGCATCTTGCCTTCACGACAAAAGAGTGGCAAGCTTTAAATGCCTCCAGAGAGTCAGCTTTTCTTACAAGGCTGAAGAAGTCTCATTTTAGTTTTTGGGACCTCCCTCTTCCTGCCCAAAACCTCCCCTCTGTCACCTTCCATGAAGTCCAAAATTCCTCCATTTGAAAGGATGTACTTATTTCTTCTTAATTATATGCTACTCTTACTCAGATTGTAGTATAAATGCAAAAATATTTATGTATACCTTCTTTCAAGGGAGACATTTTCTCATTCAGTTTGGGATAGTACAGTGTCCTCTTGCTGGGCATAATTAGGAAAAAGAAGTGGTGACTTGAGAAAAGAAACCAACAACAGTGGGTTTTTATAACACCACCTTGGAAGGGAGAATGGAATCAGAGACAAGTGAGCCTGGATTTGAATCTGCTGGTTCAGAGGGCGCAGGAGAGATCTCTGAATTCTCCTCTACATCGATTCATCCAAGACCTTATCATCCACACAGATGATGACTTCCACGCTTATCTCCATCCAGTGCAGGCTTCTCCTCCGAACTCTGCCTCCTTGATGCCTCCATTTGAATGACACACCATTTCAATGCTCTGTTCTCTCTACGAGAAACATTTTTCTCCCAAAGCCCCCTTCGCCTACTTAACTTCCATTCAGCACTCATATCTCAGTGCAAATCTTCTTCCTCGGGGAAGGCTACCCCGCCACCAGGACCAGATAGAATTCCCCTGTCATACACCTTGTCATCCCTCTTCCCCCCCCCACATACCACTTACTCTCTTCATAATTATGCAGTACTTAGGTAAGCTTCTGCTTAATGTCAGGGACTCCACCAGGCCCTCAGCCCTCCAGAGCATATGCATGTCTCTTTCACTCTGTGCTGTATGCATTGTCAGATCCAAGCTCTTGGCTGGTGTACAAAAAGCACTCAATAAACATTGATGAATAAATGAGTGGATGCTGCATAAGTGCATACAGATAAAAGTGAAGGGGTCACTGCTGAAGCAAAGACTCTACGGTACATTGCATTTGGGAGAGACATCAACTCCAGTATGCTGAACTGAAAGTTAAATAAGGCTGACGGAAACATGTTCTCATATTGGCTTTGGGTTTTATTTATCTCATCAAGCATCAACATTATTCTGTTCCTCCATAGCCCCAAGCTCCTTCAACATAGAAACAACTCAAGCAGTTACTGAACCAATTGTTAGAGAACCAGACACAGAAAGAGGAGATCCTTCATGTCTGCCTTCCCTACAGTAGAACCAAACTATTTTATAAATACTATACCAGAATTACAGAGAAGAGATATCTTTAAAAGCTTTCTACCAAGGGAGAATCTAAAAGGTCAAACTCATATTAAGAGCAGAAAAGTGGTTGCTGAGCTGGGTGAGGGGGAGTGAACACAGGGCCAAAGGTGCGAACTTCCGGCCACACAGCCAGGAAGGGCTGATTGTCTAGGGTGTAGCACGGTGACCACGACTGGCAACACTGTCTCACATAATGGAAATCTGTTGAGAGTAGGAAGCAACTGCTCTCACCGAAATAAAAATAAAAACCAAATAAATCTTTGATAACAACTTTATCGGTATTAGTTTACATCCAAAACAATTTCAACTAAAAATTTTGACCTAATCCACCAGCTTGGACGCAGAAAACAGGAGAAAGTAGAGGAAAAGGGTAGGTATATAAAATATAGAGAACATTTTTAATAATCAACAGTACTTTCCATTTAAAAACAAAACCTTCATATCCCAAGTATCATACGCAACGTCTTTTTGGCAAGGTCTAACTCTGACTGCAAATGTATATAAATATTCAAACACACACATTTCATAGCAACCGCTTAACGACTCAAAATGTACTAACTATAAGAATGGTTTTTCTTAATGGAAATCAGATACAAACTTCGCAGAACAAAAGTTTCCATTCTGGCCGTGTATATCCATTACATACAACTCTTGTAAAACAAACTCAAAAGCAGATTCCAAAACCCTTTTGTCATTAAAGATGCATTTGCTGTGATAATAGTGAAGTAATATGGGAAAAACAAACATGCAGAAATGCAAATTAGTAGTTTAAAAAAGGACTCAAAATGAAAAACTTTCAAATACACCCAGGCTATAAATGCTGATGCAAAGGTAAAGAATGTGTTAAAAAAAACCACACTTGTGACACATTTTTTCAAAATGAATTAATTTTCTTTAAGAATGATTCATGTTTGATACCTCCTTCATCAGACGGTCTTGTTACCTCACTGCAGCAGGAAAAGCTAGGGTAACGCCCAGACACTTCTGACTGGTCATCTCCCAGAACGGTACCGAAGGTACTGCTTGAGTGAGACCGCTGTCTCCTATAGTGACCTGCCTTTTCTATATCGGAGGGAAAATATTCACACTTGTGATCCAGTGCATTGAAAAACACAGGAAACAAAAAACTATTAAAAGCTTAACAAAGAGGAGAAACAATCCCTTATTAAATAACTCTAAAGCTCCATATTATAAATTCTAACCATCTATTCCCCAAAATCAACATAGATTGTATCAGCTATATAAATGTCTTAATGATTATTATAGTCATTTTTAATCTAGATTTTAAAAGAGATATGAGGGATAGAAAATTGAGAAGAATTAAGAAAACATTAGCAAACTAATAAATTTCTATCAAACGTAATGACTAGTTACAAATAATTGCTTTCAAGCGTCACCAACATGCAATATTTGTTGCCTTTTCTTTATTTTTAGATGCTTAAATGAGTATTTGGCTGATTGTGTGGATCAAATTGACTATTAAAAATCAGAATCCCCATTTTTCTTTGGGCTTTCCATCTTATTAATGCCAACAATAAAATCTAAAGTAGAAATCAGAGGGCAGGACAAGAACCAAATGAAATATCTATTTTTATTGTTTAAAATAACTGCATAATTGTCAAAGCGTTGGTTTGCTAAGTACATACAGTATAAAAGTCAGAAATGTCAAATCAACTATCATTATACCCATATATCCAAACCATTCGGTTTTTGCTTTTAATTATAAATATGCAGTCTAAGTTCAAAGTCAAACTTCCTATGAAAAGTATAAGTTTCACATTATATGAAAACTCAGAAGTAAACTTTAGGGAGACTGGAAAGTTTATTTTAAGATATTCATGATGCTATATGTAGATAACTCCCCAATGCTTTTATATATAATGCTTTAACTCTACCTTTGAAAAGTTGTAACAGTGTTTTTCATGAAACAAATCTTTTTTTATGACTTGGCAGTTGAGTGTGGTCCAAATAACTGAACTAACTGCATTTGAAAGCAAATATAGCTGAGTTCTAAACGCCCTTTTAAATGAATCTCATCCAAACTGATTTCACTATACAAAAAAGTCCTTTTCAAGTTTTGTTTTCATAAATAATTAATGGTATTTTAAAGCAGCAGCCTAGCACTTTTCTGGTTTTTCAAACCCTCAACTTTAAAATTTACGTCACACAGTCAGCACAATGAACAGTGCAAAACAGCTGCGCCTTTATGACCAAACCACGTAACAGGGAGGAACGAAAATGCAAGCAGTACCAGAGAGCATATGTAGACTCCTAGACTGAATGTTGTCTTCTAGGGGGTCAATGTCGAAGATAGAGCCGGGATCTGTGCGCCAAACTTTGAGGTCTTTTACCAAAAGGAAAAAATCAACACATCAAGAATGAATTTAAAAAGTTAGCGCTAAACAGACTCATGAGAAAGTCTTGAAAATGATACATGTAAAGAGCAAACATGTAATAAGCAAACAAACTACAATGCAGACATCAAAGAGAACAAAGAAAATTTGTGTTCACCAGGATTTGTTAAGGAAACTTGACGGTCAAATTTAAGTTGCCCTGCTTATTCTCCACTGCCCTTCTACACGAGCCGTCCCCCAGCCCATGAGCACACCAGCGCACCTGGTGCAGCACCCCCATCCCTGACCCCGGTCACTTGTGCTCTCCACACACTGAAACAGGTACCATATGTGGTGAGAGCTCCTGATGAAGGACATATGAGTAATTCATGGGAAGTGACCTAGAGATCTCTTCTGAGAAAACAAAACAAAACAAAAAAATCCTCTCCCTATAACAGAAACACATTTTTAAAATGTAAGCAAGTAGCAGGCAGTTTTCATTCTGAGCCAGTGAGTGTGAGCTAATCCAGGTAGACACATTTATCTGAAAAGTGCAGTAAAGCACGGCACTGAGCAAGGACCAATGAGGAGCAGGAAGATGAACAAGGAAAAGCTTCCTGCTGTCCCCGGACCACAGACTAGTTCACTGCTGTGGTCCATAGCAAACCGGGCAGGCCAATTTATTCTCCTATTTTAATTGGAGGCAAAATCTAAATCTAACAACTTCTGGGTTTATCAGTCTCTCTACCTAATGGTTGTCAGGTCCTAAAATGATCTGTATAGTGCTGTACCAACAACAGGAAAATAAAAACCTAAAGATGTCAATTATTTTTACAATTAGTGCTAACACATGAGCCTGTCAAACACACACTTCCCTGACCCATGTCATCACTGAATAGCCTTCCGTGAGATCCAAAACCCTTTGATGTTTCAAGGTTAAGTTCACCTAACACTGAGATTACTGAGAGGCACTGTTACATGAGTACCAAAAATATTATTTGAGCAATATAACTGAACTAGCTACCATAACTTAGAGGCTAACTGCTCTGAAGGAGACAACAGTCTTTTGGAAGTATGGGTTGTTGGTACATGCTGAAAATTTAATAGCTCTACTGCCTCATCCTTAGACTTCATAGGATCCTTGCTGTCTCAGCCACCTTCAAACACTGTTCCCAAGACTTCCCCTGGCTGACTAGAAGGAACAGCCAGAAAACAAGTTCTTTGCTTTCTGATTTATGGGGCTTTCAGACAGCTCTCAACTATCCCCATTCAGAAGTAATATTTTAAAAATATAAGCTATTCATGTTATGGCATGTCATCAGAATCTCTCTGGGACATCAACTTGTAGTAAAAGGACCTAAATGGGATTATTTCTGTTATTTCTGTCACCCGTGCAGATGATGTCTGTGGTACAATATATTGATCAAATACATAAAGTAAAAACAAAACAATTACTCAACCCTTGTTATCACCTATGTCTAATATTTGAGCTGCTTCCTTGCTTAACAAGTAGAAATATTTGTGAGACCAAAAAGTTATTAAAGGCAGGCATCTAGTTACAGAAAGAACTGGAACTTTACCCGGCGAGTGCCATGAACCCCATTCAACAGGGTGTAACAGTAACAGCTGTGGTCCCCTTCCAGCTGGGCACCACATCAAACACTGGAGGCGGCCTCTGACAAAGAAGGAGGCTAATTCTAAAGCTCGGGCAAGCCGAGTCTTTTTGACCATGCAGACCTGCCACAAAGGACCACTAGCTTACCCACGATGATGCCAGGTCTCCTGTCCATCTCCACAATGTGAGGATGGACGCCTTTGTAAGCAGCGTCGCTGATGACCTGGGTGTTCTTCCTCACTCGCTCGGTCACGGGGTCATCCACAACGGGAGTAAAGCCCCTCCCCTTTGTCTTTTCAAAATCTTCATGATATTTTACCTGAAAAAAAGGAAAAATAATATTAACTCAAGTGAAATTTTCTGATTATTACATAGCTCACAGAATTTTCATATAATGACAGCTGTCACCGCATCCCCTGTATCTGGATTACCTTCTGCACACACCCAGGGTCCCGCAGAAATAGCACCTGCCTGAGCGTGGTTGGTAGGGTAAGAACATGGGTGTAGTCATTTCTAGTTTTAATTTGAACATTTTACCTAAAATGTCACATGGTGTGCTTGAGTGTGATGTTGTTAGGTTACAGAATTACATGCTTATGATTTTGGAATAAAAAGGGGAGTTATTTGTGCAGGACCCTGTATATCCTTTCCATTCCAAAATTAATGCCTGAAACTTCAGCTTCCTAGCAGTAGGAATCAAGTATAGGAATCAATAATGCAAAACATATTCACACTGTTTTGCATTATTATGGTTAGCAGTTCTTTTAAATTATGTATATACCTCATATCAGTAAGAATCTTTAAAAGATATATAATCCTAGTTCCTCTCTAAAATGTACTAACTTAGGTGCAAATAATTTCCTATTTCTTAACCTTTAATATGCAATAAAACTATGAGCCATCTCCACAACTTATTCAAGAAAACTAGTTAAAATTAGATTAAGAAAGTTATAAATAACAATATATACATTATATAATTACAAAATTATATACATACTTCAAAGCATACACATTTTAGGTTCTAAAATTGGATTAGGGTAATGGTTGTTTAACTCTATAAATCATACAAACCACTGAATTTTATACTTTAAGTGGGTAAACTTTATGGTACATAAATTATATCTTATGAAACTGCTTTAAAATTCAGGTATATTTTTAATCTTCCATGCAACATGCAAACACACCAAACTCTGTCTTAAAATTAATTGGAAATAAGTCCAGCTAAATATCTTTCATAAAATGCATTTTTAGTCGTCATGTTAGAAATGAAAACACACCCCAAAAATCACTGAGAAAAATTATTTTATTAGACAATATTCCCATTACATTTCAGTGTGATTAAAATGTCTCCCCAAAAGGATCGGCCCACCCACACTCCCATGCTTTGGTGGTTATCCAGATTAACGGTGAGCTGTCGCCGCCAGCACACTGGGTGATGCCGTTCCACAGTGTATTTTAACTGTGAGAAGAAGGGTCCGGTCACACCCTACCATTGAAATACGATTTTGTGCTTCTTTGACATGCCGCAGACCAGGTGTGTCTAAAATCAGACTTGGTCTGCCTTTCATCTGTTTGCGGTCCTGGGTATATTTTACCTGTAAAGTAAGTAGTAGAACATACTTAATAACACAATCATAATCTTAAAAACTTCATAACTTTTTCAAGTTTTCCAAATAAGTAAAATGTATGCAATATATTCTAAATTATTCCCCCAGGTAACTTGTTCAGTGAATTACATTTTATTTTAGAATAACAATCTAAAGTTTTACTCTCAAAGGTCTCCTTTAAAAACTATAGCAAAAATAGCCCTGGCTGGTGTAGCTCAGTGGATTGAGCACAGGCCTGCGAACCATACAATTGAGGTTCGATTCCCAGTCAGGGCACATGCCTGGGTTGCAGACCAGTTCCCTGAAGGCCAGTTCCCAGCAGGGGACGCACGAATGGCAACCATACATTGATGTTTCTCTCCCTCTCTCCTTCTCTTCCCCTCTAAAGATAAATAAATAAAATATTTTTTAAAAACACATTTAAAAAATAAATAAATAAATAAATAAAATAAATAAATAAAAACTATAGCAAAAATGGCCTAAATCATTCTACCAACTGAAAGCGAATATGTAAATGAACCGTACCCACCAACAGTGCAGTCAGTGAAAGTGGTTACCACACTTACATTGAACAGGGAAAACCCCAAACTAAATAAAACCTAAATTTACTTCCCTGTTTCTGCATTTCCCTGTTTCCACCAGGACACTGTTGAACAGTGCACACAAACTTCCCTCCGTGTCATTTTATTTCTCCCTCTGTGAGGGATAAGAAAAAATGAGAAACAAACCTAGTTTCCTTCTAAGCAGTCACAACTTAGAGGTAATTTATGTTGAATTCAGTCAGCATCTCTTGACAGACATGCCACTGGAAAGGTATAAACCCTAAATCCTAAATGCCGATCCCCAGGCCCAGAGCCCTTCTTCACAGCTGACCACTGAAACTGATGTTTGTGAAGCTGATGGTGCATGATGACTGCCGCAGACCTGAGGGCACAGTGTGCGACTCGGTACCGAAACCCTGGCACTTGGTAAGAGAGAGAACACTATACAGATAGGCACCGTGGGACCTTCATGAATAAGTGATTTCTGTATGAAATGTATATAAAAAATTTTCCCTGTAAGTCCTTACTTTGGAGTAATAACTCATTTCTCATTTTGATTTGCAGAGAGCATTTAACAATCCATATTCAATGGAATACATCTGTAAAATGATAATTACTTCACTTATACATGAAAGACTTTACCACTTTCAAAGACATGGGTAAAATACATGAATCATTGTTTAAATGAACACAACATAGTTTAAAACTAAACATTAAATGTAACTGTTGGTCACATCTGGGAATATCATAGAGGGTTGTAAGCAAATGTCATTTTAAACATTGGCAGCTTATGGAAATCATCTAAAATAACACATGGACTTATTGCATATATCCCAAATGTTTCTTAAAAATGTATTTTGCTTTCCCAAGAAAAAACAGGGCTGCATGTAAACAATAATGACACATTCTCTGTGATAGTCCAAAGTGAAGAAAGCCACTTGCCGAACTAATATTCTCCTGATTCTTCTTCACTCTTTCCATTTCAGGAGTTGCACTTAAAGCCGTAGCTCTTCCCAGCTGACCTTTATAATGAACCTGGCATTTCAAAGAACAACAACAAAAAAAATAGTGCACTATAAATCAATGCAACTAAATAAACACCTCATAGTTTTTAAAGAACTAGCCAAGAAAATCATGAAAAAAGAGGATGCTGTCCGAGTTCTGGTCATATTTAAAATAACTGCATCTTAAGTCAATCTAATGCATTTCATAGCAGTGAATCCCTGTGAAGGTACTCAGTGTATGGGTACACCATCAGGAAAGCTGTAATAAGCACATCATCACAAAGGAACATGATGCATGTCTTCATGGATATACTTACAGGTGTCCCCACCCACATAGAATAGTACTGAGCTGTGGTGGCTTCTTAGTAACTAACTGTGGCAGAACTCTCGAGTGGTTATCTTTAAACAGGTGCCATGTCATGCATGAAAAGGCCAGCCTGCTTCCTACTATTCTGTTCCTCCTTTTCAATGACCATGTTCCTTTTGAGAGTAATGGAGTCACATCAAAGTGTGACTCTAAATATAGTAGGAAAAGATGAGCATCGACTTCTCCAAAATATAGTTGTTAGGAAAAGTACAAACAATAAACTACCTTTGCTTTATAATCTGGTCAAATAACCTGAAACATTTAAAGAATATGAAGTCTCTTTGAACCTAACAGATTTCCAAATTGCCTCCTCAAAAGAACCTTATCTATATGTTAATGATTTCAAAACAGGATTCTCTCAGCGAGCCACTCCACAGATTGCATAAACAGAAGGGAATCTGAGCAGGCTGGGAGTGAGTGTCTGAGTGAAAACTGACTGCCTCTACAAGGGCCCCTAACATGGGCCTGTTTCATGTCATCTCTTTAGCCATGCACACTTTATAATTTCTTTCCAGACATAGTCCAAAAATAAAGTTAATAGCTGGGAGTGGGCTAGGAAAGAACCAGTGCAGGAAGGAAAGGGAGTGGGAACGCTGATCTGCAGGGCCGAGATGCCAGCAGCGACGCTGAGTCCCTTTGAGGAACCACAGTGGCGGTGCGCAGGAAGACTAGATAAGAGAGTCACACAATAACCCACAGACAAAAACCATCCTGCCATGTCCTGGGAACTCTGCAGGGACAACGCCTGGCTACACTCACAAGACATGAGACCCTGAAACCTTTCCCATAAATTGACAGTCAGCTGAGAGCAGAAATCAGTATCTACTCCAGGTCATGAACATTTGTAAACGTTATCCATTCATTGACATGTGAACAGTATGTTTGCTATCATTAGAAGAAAGTTGCTAAGATCACACATTGCTGATGTTCCTCTGGTTCTCTTTAACTCTCTTCAGCTCTGGTGGATCAGAAATTGTGGTGGCCTGTTTAATCTCTCCTTTGTACTTTACCTGTAGAGGACAAATAAGAATTTTAATAGATAGCACAATGGTCTCCACCCAAACAAGATAAAGGATGAGCCTCAAATGAACCTTATCCTCTTCCACAGATTTTCCACAGTAGATACGCGTTAACCTTCCTATTCACATCCACTACTGGATTCTGAGCCATCTGACTTAGCAAGCACAAGTGTTGTTTGTGCTCCTTGAAAATGAGTTCCTAGTAAACACTCTGCTGTTCAATATTAAAACTAACTGCAAAAATTCTGGGACTAAAAGTAATGGAAATACAGGGGGAAACATCAGAATGGAGTCATCATAAGAAAACTACAGTGAGGTCACCATGGCAACCTGGGAAAGCCACTGTCTTTCTGACCCAAGGGTTTCAATCTTCACACACACACACACACACACACAAACACACACACACACACACAACTATAGAGGAAAGAATACAGGAGCTGGGCAACAAAAAAAGGTGAAGGGATTAAGAAGCCCAACGGTCAGTTACAAAGCAGCCATGGGAATGGAAGTACAGCAATGGCTGTGTGGTCAGTCAGTAGTATTGTAATCACTATGTATGGAGACAGATGGTTATCAGACTGTCTATAGTGATTACTTCGTAAGGTACAATATGTAAAAGTCAAATCACTACACCAGGAACCAATATAATACTTCCTGTCAACTATAATTTTCAAATAAATAAATTGTTTTTAAAAATTCCAAGGAACTGGTAAGTCTCACTGTCTAAGAGTCGGTCAAAGCCCACTCACTTTTACAGTGATAGGTAATTCTAATAGCAGAAAGCCCAGTTGCACTTTTACATATGATGATTCCTTATTTGATATTCTGTTTCCTCATCATTTTTCTTTGAATTTTTGAGATAGTTTTTATTTGGGCTTCTCACAGTGGTTAGAGCCACGCCGTCCTCAGAAGGATCACAGCACAGGACATGCATCATTGCAACAGCCCAGCAAAGTCTGACCCACGCAATCTTATTGCTTAAAATCCACAATAACTGACAAATGGCAATGTGCCTCACACAGGAGCATTTACAAATCGTTGACTGAAGCACAGACCCTCCAGCAACCCCTTTCTTCTCAAATCATCTAGAAAGCCAGGCTCAATCAAACCTCCCTGGCCTCCTAACTAGTCCTTCAACACCCATTTCCATTTGTCTCTGCCCTCAGGGTAGCCTCCTGGAGCAGGGGCCACACCGTGGCTGGGGGAATCAAGCCCAGCTCCTGGGTTCCACCATCCTCTTCTCCTGCCTTTAGGGTAGGATGCTGCAGGGAAGGAAACCTGAGAGGGCCAGAATTCATCCACTTAATCAGTAAACCGAAAGGGGACTCGTTTTGTTAAACTTGATCTCCTTGGAGGCACTTCAGTGAGTCGTTTGGGATTTCTTTCAAAGTGGAAGGAAAGGCATCTGAGGGTTGCTGGTGCACTCCCGCCCACTCTCACCACACACCAGCTTCCCTGCGTGCACTGGACCTTGGCAGGGGGAGGTAAGCCCTGTGGTATCTGCCAAACCCTCCTGTCAATTCTGAACAGGGCTGACGTCTGGGCCACAGCTAATCCAAATTTGTCTTTAAAGATCCAATGAAGCTTCTGTCTGAAGTTCCACCTTCCCTTTCTGTTCCGAGTGGCCGTGGACACCCCAGGGGACTGATAGAAGGGCCAAGAGTGGCCAAGGGAGGCAGAGCACATTTTCACTTACAGGGAATGGTACACAGGCCTCCAAGTGTCCATGGAGCCAAGTGCAAACAGCAGTGATGGGCAGAGCAAAACCTCTACTTTTAGGACTGTATCTCTGGCAAATACACCCATGTAGAGTCAGACATTTGTTCAGTAAACAGTAAGTGCATGAAATAAATTACCTTGAGAGAGCCATATTTGCTCCAAATGTGTAGTTAATGAGCAGATGGCTGCCATTCAAAGTACATTCACAGGAAAGGAAAACAGGGCTGGGGCTTCTCCCACAATCAACAGACACACACAGGTTTTCCAAAAAGTTGCTGCATGTGGACTTCACTTTGTTCAACATGGATTTCGAGCCCAAACACAGACACTCCACCTCAGAGCCTTAGATTTGTCTATTTTTTAAAATATATTATATTGATTATGCCATTACAGATTTGTCTATTTTTTTATACACGTGTATTTTTTTCTCTCTTAATATAATGTCAATGCCCAGTCTGAATGTCATCATTTAAGAGTGGATAAAGAACCAAACTCTCCATAGGAAGAGGGCTGGGCAGGGAATCTTAGTTTCAGCTGTTGGCTTTCTCCATTCAGATTATTCCTATCAAAACTCAACTAGTTACCTGAAGCCAAACTGTACAGTAATAAGGACCCTCTGGCCAGCTGCCTTTACCCCCGTCCCTGGGCCAGTTAGACTCTTTCCATAGGCTGCTACCATAGTTCCCCACTCACAAGGGTGGTGGGAGGAACAGGGTGTGAAAACCACAGATAACCAAGGCATTTTTTCCAAGTGGTTTTTTTAAAGAAAGAAGAAAAACTTATTCAGAATCTAGAGAAAACACTGGGTGTGAGCCAGGCAATGGGACTGCCCTTCCTCAGGGCCCACAGCCTTCTCATTTGCTCCTATAGAACAGCGAGACGTGAAGGCCCACAGACTGTGCTTGGGCTGCAGGGGTCCTGGTCACCTGGGGGTACAGACCAAGGGGCACAGATGCAGAAGGCTACACCTCTACCCACTGCCACGGCTTACTGCTTCCTGTGCACCCACAGAAGTTCCGGAGACAGCCCCGCCCGAGCCAGTTCACAAAGCTCCTCCTGGCTCCATCACAGACAGGCTCTTTGAAGGCCATCTTGGGAAAGAGCCCAGACTTCCCTTTTCTAAATAGAATTCTTGCCTGCCTACTGGTGAAGTTCTTGTTTTTAGCTTACTTTTTTATTTTTTATTTTCTTTAAAGAAAAACCAAAGAGAAGGCAGTGCAATCTCCTGCACCTGAACCAGTCTGCAGCCAGCCAGAACCTGCTGGGCAGGGCCCCTCAAGGATGCTCAGCGATGCCTCCATCTCATCACCTGGAATTTGGAAACACAACAAGCCCCTACTCGTCGACCACGCAGCTGCCTGTCAGCTTGCCCTCCCATAGATTAGCCCGAGTCCAGCTGTGCAGACACTGGCAGTGACCGGTAACAACCTCTGGGCCTCTGCAGCCTTTCTTCTCCCTCCAGGGCTAAGACCTGCTGTCTCTCCTGGACTGAGACACAGCCAAGTTCTCCTACACTAACCCCAGAGCAAAAAGCCACTCTATCACCAAGAGTCACCTCAGGGCACAGTCTCAGCCCCTTCACTGGGGGCTTCTAAAACACACATCTCTCCAACCCAAGCAGGTAGTGAGTTATGACTTGAAAAGGTGGAAAGGGGGATAAGGGTGGAGTACAAGGATTTAGTCACAGAACCAACTTCTCGGCCCTCCACAACACTGCCTCTGTGGGCAGGAGAGGCACCCACATGCCAAACTGCACCTGGAGATGTAGGAAAATGCAGGAGTGGAGGGGAAAACAAGAAGAGAAATAAAAGGACCAAGTAGCTGTCCCACTTTCTTCGGAAGTCACTTAATGCTTCTCTCACACTTTTTCCCTACCCTGCTGCTTTTCCAAGTCCTCAGATACAGGCCGGGCCTGCTCTAGAGCTGGGGGAGCTGCTGCTCGGGGGTCTAGGGAGTCCTACTCATTGGTGGGGTTTGCCATCACCATCTGGGGAGGCATGAGGGTTCCCACAGCAAGTGGGGTGCCCAGGACCTCAGGCCTGCTCCTCACGGGGCTGGCAGAGCCCTTCCTCCTCATCACCAGGGGGCCACACATGGGAGCTGTCACAGAAGTCCAGCATTCCATCCAGAGCATCATCAGTAAGTGTGCTGAACTCTTTGAGGTCGTCATTGTGGTGGCCTATCGGCCACACACACCCCTCAATGCCCAAGTCACCCTTAATGTGGCGATGTCTGCCAAGTGTCTTCTTGCTGTTGGGATGGGCACTGCTCTACTTGCAGCTGCCATCTTTCAGCAGCTCCTCCTTACATTCCGGGTCCTTGTGCAGTGAGGCCCCACAGCCAGATCCCCCAGGCTAGCCACACAACCACTGGGCTCCATTCCAGGGGCTTTGGTGGCTGCTAGGTTGACTGACATGTGAGAGTCAGAGGGCTCAGGGTCCGAGATGATGCCTGGGGGTCTACTGCTGCTTGTGCTGGGCCCCCTGGGAGCCCTTGGTGGGACTGGCACCTGTGGCCTGCTACCTACAAGGCCACATTGTACAGACAGCAGCTGCTGTAGCTGGAAGGCATGAAATAAAATGGCAGCTCTGAGTAACTGTGGGCTTCCCAGTAGGCAATCAGGTTCATTTCAGGCCACTGCTGGGCCCAAAGGTGGAGGCTGGGTGCTCGGGTGCCCGGCTCAGTGGTGGTGGTAAACACAGCAGCAGCTCAGGATGATCATGATGGTCCGCTCCAGCCAGAACCATCAGCATTCAGCGTTGCAGTAGCAGCGCTGAACCTGTTCACAGGAGTGTCCTGTTGTCACAGATGTAGCTCTGAGTATCGGTACCCGCTCAGGTTCCCTTATCCCGTGGGGGTTCAGCCCTGGCTGACAGGGGTCTAGGCAGCACCTGGAGGAGGAAGAGTGCCTGCCACCCTGGAGCCTTCTCCTCTCCGTCCCCTTCCTGGGCCTCCTCCTCCCTCTCTCCTCCGCATTCCTCCTATTATGACTTTTATTATTCTGAATCTTGATGAGTTTGAAGCTAAGATGCATTTGTTTACTTACAATTGACGGATAGCAGAATACTTAGCGTGTATCAAGGGCTTAATAAATAGCTACTGAATAAATGAGTCAATTAGAGCAAAGAAACAGATTTTTTAAAAGAAGGCAAGTCTCCCCAACTCCCGCCATCCTCCAGGGATGCTGTAAGGGCACAGCAGTGTTCCTGCCGATTTTCTCCTCCACCTGGGAGAACTCACTCGAATTCCAAGTCTTTTAAATAACCTATTTGGAAGAACAAGATTGCTATTGGTTTTATGGTAAAAAGTCCATGAGGGGGCTCAAAAAACAGAAAGAAAATAACCGTTGAGGTTAGCACCTTTGAAAGGATTTCTAAATCCAGGAAGCTTGGATTGAATCCCAGCTCTGCCCTATTAATTGTGGGTCGCTGGCAGTTCTCTGACCTCCCGAAGACTCAGCTCCCCACAGCTGTAAACCAGAGAAAAAGTTGTACAGACCTCAGGGGCTCAAATAAGGCGTGTAGCATGGGGTCCACATTAGAGGCACCACATGATTGTTAATTATCATTACTTTATTAGCAATGGATTACTGAATAATCAAGTTCTCCATTTTATTTATAAAATTCCCTGCTCTGACATTATGCCTTAGAACTCCAATCAAGCCAGGTCTTCTTTCAACTACTCCAAACGACCACTTTTTGTCTTGGCTGATAACAGACGTGCCTCTCTCCGGGCCCTTGCCTCGATACAGTTTTAGAGATTTACCAGCTAAAGTACAAGGTCCACAAAGACAGGAACTGGGTCTTATCCATCTCTGTGTACTGGTGACCAGGATAATGTCTGGCACACTGGCGTGCGTAGTGCGGACTTTTTAAAATAAACAAACGTGGCCAAATTATAGCAAGACAGTCCCAAGTCTCCTGTACTCACACAGGAGGGCCACTGTTCATGCCCTTCTATTTGCAGCTGCGAAAAGGACCATCCACTCTGCAGAGGGTTCAAAGGATTTCAGAGAACATTGTGAAGAGTAAAAATAGGTAGCATTTAATAAAATATGAGAAAACAGAAACAACTTGCCGTACTCAGCTGCTCCTGGTTCCTCCTCACTCTTTCTATCTCCGGTGTCATGCTCACGGGTGTGGCCCGGTAGCACTGCTCTTTGTACTGGAACTGGGAAACAAGGTGCAGGACGCTGTGTGACTGTGGGGCGGAAATGGGTGCCCACATCCCAGAACAGTTGGCAGGACACACACGTACCAGAACATTCATTAGTTAGAATCTTCACTGGGATTGGATAGCATCTAGCAGTATGGAAGTTTTCCTGACCCACTGCATAGAGGGGCTCTTTCTTAGCCAAGGGATCAGACCCATCATTTTTGGTCAGCTTTCCCAACTACTGCACAACATCTCAGGACATAGGTGAGAATCCAACACAGAGGAAAAAAATGGTATATCTGTCAACTGAATTTTTCACAAGGAAGTAAAACTTGAGGTTAACATTCCATTATAAGGAACTCCACAGAGACAGTCTTAGTGCTTTCTTAAAATTTAAATTTAGCATTAGGGAATTTTTTTCCAAGAAATCACCAGGCCTACAGATAAAATGCAATTGAGATTCCACTCTTAACAGTGAATGTGAAATTTGATAAGCTTGGAAAATACTTGAGAATGGGGCAGGCCCCTTCTGCCATGTGGGACTTTCCTTGTGCCGTGGTATACAGTTTGAGAGTTTAGACAGGCTCTGGGTCTGAATCTTGGATAATTGTCTGAGTTCAAGTGATAAAAGGTCTAGTAGAAGCTCTATGGACAGCAAGACACAAGATGACGCTGGGTAGAACTCGGAAGAAAAACAATCTACACAACAGGACTACTGATGTAGAGAGACCATTGTGGTTGACTACCAGCAGAAGTAGGTTTGAGGACATAAGTTTGAGATGGAGACTGGTTTACATCTTGTATTCACCCACTCACAAACATGCTAAGTGCTTTGAAGGCAACATCTCACTTCTTACATTAGTTCCAGGTTGTGGAGGAGGAAATGGAAGTTTGGAGAGGTTGGTGGTTTATGAAGGTTGGTGGTTTAAGTAAGATCTGGAGCTGGACTGAACCTACGGCCCCAGGTCCACATTCTTCCTTGTCATTCCAGTGTTATCCGAATTCCCTCACATTGTACAACCCTTACCTGTATGCCATGCCAGAGACCACTTGTACTGTGATTTATATTGTTAGTTTTCATTTAATTAACTAGCTACTATATTCTAATTAAGTTATTTTTAAGGGAGTGTTATGTTTCCATGATAAACTGGGGACACATTAAGACAACTTAATCACAAAGTTGAGGTCCAATAATGGGTGGGCCACTTAACCACATCTATGTATGAAACACATTTAAGGGACACTGTGGGACTCCCAACTGCCCCCTCACAACCTGGACCACTTCTCTCCACTGCCATCTCATGCCACCCTTCACCCAAAGTACCCATCACACTAGACCTTGCTTCCCTTCCTTGAACAAGCCTTGTATCAAGTATATTCAGTTGCTCTCCCAGAATGGCCCTTCCTCACCCCCAACCTTTATTAATTCTTCAAGGTCTAATTCAATGTCACTCTTTCTCCAAGAGTTTTCCTCTCCCCCACTGACACAGCCTTCCTTCTCTGCATTTCCACAACATTTTGTAAGAGGAATTATTACTTATTATTAAATGAGATATTGCATATAAAGTACCAAAAAGTAAACCCAATAAATAGTAGTTACTGTTATAACACTTAAACAGTGTATGATTTTTACTTAGTCTTATGTTTGTTTCTCCTAGAGACCTTGAGAATATTCACAGCCCCTGACTTACGGTGTGCCTTGCTTATCTTTGAATTACCGTGAGAACAAGAACACAGTGAGAACTCGATGATGTTTTTTTTTTTCCCAACAAACAAATACACACGAAGCATTCTGCCAGGTGTAATGGAGGACACAAAGATGTGTGGAATCTTGTCTCCACCTTTCCAGAACTAGCCCGCTTGAATGGTAATCACTGTAATGGGACTTCACGTTTCTAAGTGTCATGTATGGTGCTAGCCAGCGAAACAGAAAACAATACTTAGAGAAATATGATCACACATTGCTGATATTCTTCTGGTTTTCTTTAACTCGCTTTAGCTCTGGAGGATCAGAAATGGCTGTTGCATGTTTTATCTCTTCTTTGTATTTCACCTGCATAATTTATAAAAAATATAATGTATTATTTAACACAAGATTTTTAGAAAGTCAAGAATCCTTCATTTATAACTATTGCATAACTGAAATTTTATAATTCCAACATTAATTTTCCTTCCATGGGAACACAAATATTTATTTTACACTTTCAATATTCCTTTCTGTACAATGCAAGTAAGTCCAAATCTATTCACCTATCCATCATTGTAGGAGTTTTTAATTAAAGTGAGAAAATGTTGCTTATGAAAATAAGTTTTATCATTAGGCAGATGCACAAAAGTCCTTGGAAATTATCTTAAGTAATATCATAATTTATTATTTTCTATCCAAAATGCAGTTTCCAGTTATTGGTATGTTAATTAAAATTTACCATGTGTATACTTAAATGCAAAAGTCAGATTGTGTTAGCTCCAGAGTCTTGGAAACACTGCTTGTTTGACTGAGAACATTCAAATAATCCAGAATAAGAAAAAAACACATGTGAGCACAATAAAAGAAGAGAAAGAGGGATGTGGAGGTACATGTTGTAGAAGCAGAGGCCACTGTGTCCTGACCACTACAGAAAAGCCAGTGGCGGGAAGTCAGGAGTGTCTTCCACCCACACAATCGCATTGTGGAAAGCCAGCCTATATCCTGGCTTACAATTCATTGAAAAGCTCCTCTTTCAAATCAACCCAGCAAAAGGCAATACCAACACACAGTTATGCATGGGACAAGAAACAGCTCTTTAACGCAAGAAATGATTAGTGATGCCATCATGGCAGGTGTTATTTTAATGTCTAAAATTCATGGAAGATCAGATTCAAGAGAAAGGACCCAAATATATACTAATATGTGAAAACACAGGCTAGAGTTAAGAGGCACGCGTTAAAATTTCCCAAAGACCTAAATCTACAAAACACATTTTAGAAATCACTTGGTAATGCCTAAAGGGACTAAGGCTGAAATCTATGCTGAGAGTCAAAAAAAAAGCAGCACCTAAATATCTCAAATATCTTCTGTGTCTCCGTGTCTGTGGTTTTAATGTGAGTGAAAATGCCAATCTTAGTCTGGATGCAAAAGAGTTAAATTGAGAGGACAATGAAAGAGGCTACCTCTTGATAAGATCCGAAGATACGGCAGTTCTTGAAGAAAGCTAATAGCTAAAATGCTTGTACTCTGGAGGTGGAAAATGTCGGGATCTTTAAATGTTAGAGAATCATATCTTGGTTTGACAGATCTAGCTAATCTTGAAAGGGCAACTTTCCATTTGAATACTAAGCAGGGGCTATGGCCCAGCCTCATGGAGACACAGAGCTGTGCATTTATTGTTTGCTAGAAGAAGCAGTGGGACGCTGGGAAGAGAAATGATAAACTATAACTCTGTGTGATTTTCCTCGGGTGAAAAGTTAAACATGACGACAGATGAACATTTTTGTTTTCCATACACTACACTGATCAAAATGGCAGTCATTTCACTGCAAGCAACAGAACTGCATGCTACAGAACATTTATAACACTATATTCCAGTACATTGATGGGTACATTTATCATTTGAAAGTGAAGGAAGCAAACATTTTACACTTCTCGGCCAAACTAATTCCTCTACCAGGCCCGAGTGCTGCCTGAGACAGGCTCTCGCCCTGGTGGAGTGCAGCGCATACGCCCTCCTCATCAGGGCCTTCCTGTGCTTCCCGCAGGAGATAGCTTCTTCACTCATGCCAAGGAGATCTTATTGCATGGGTATTCTGTAGATATTTTTTATAAATTCATTTTGAAGTATGTTTTACTATAGCATTGATTGCCTTTCCTGCTCTTTCTCCCCAAACGCCAGTGTAGGCTCATATTCTAAAATGAATGCCACGTAACTATGAGAGCTCCTGACAGATTAGCTGCATCAAGGAATTTTTTACTTGGATTACTTAAAGAAAGGCTCTGCCTCCAAGGGTGAAAGGTGGACAGAAGGTCAAAAAGGAGATTTAAGAAGAGAATACTTTTCATTTCCTTAATACAAAACTAAATATACCTGGAAGAATGCCTACTGAGGTAAGGAGAGCAATTATCCATTGTCCGTGTCAGGCAATTTTGCTGCTGTACCTGAAACATTAAGCACCCCCCCCATCTTTCCCCAGCTCAAAAGGAATTGGAAGATAAGTTGATTTACAAATAAGAGTTAGGTGCACATTTTTCTTTGACAGAAGATGGAAGAAGTAGAGGTAAATGGGGCCTCTGAAATCTTTTCTTAAGCTACCAAATAAATGTTCTTTAATCATTCTCCAGGGTAAAATTCCCTTCTTCCAAGTTGTGGAGAGTTACTCAAATTTACCCTTTCTCAGAAAAATTTAATGCAGTGAAAATTCTGTTTAAAGAATACAATCTAATCCTAGATTTCATGACTGCACTGTTAAAGTGGTTGATCTCCTGGGCACTGTGTTTGGCAAGATGAAACACTGCTCTCCATGGTGCTGGGTTCAAGGGGAATGAGGCGAGTTTTCCTTCTGAAAGTTAAATCTTTGATATCTGATGAAAAAACATGTCAACCAAGTGAAGAATAAAAGAAAAGGGCAAACAGTTTAATGAAGAATGATAAATATTTATCTAATGTACATTTGCTTTGGGAAAGAATAGTTAATGCCAAAGAGAACTTACTGAACTAATATTCTCCTCATTTTTCTTCACTCATTTAATTTCTGGAGTATCTTTTACTGCTGTGCCAGCTCCTACTTCTTTCTTATAAAATAGGTGTATTATAAAAGGAGGAAAGGAATAGCTCTACACTTATTAGCATCTGAGCCCTAGACTCAATTCTTATGAAAGAAAGACAATTTCTCAGGTCTTAGAGTAATGTGAATACAGCTTCTACTTATGAGTACCAATGACATTAATCAATTAAATAATCCATTATGAGAATGAATGTCCAACTCTGGAATGTCCAACATAATCTTACAAGTAACCCTCTAATGCATGTTCTAGGGCATGCTTGGTATTTTATATGGCTCTGGATTTTTTGCTCTAAGAATATAAGTTGAAAAATTACAGTTTCCTTCTTAAAATATAAATGTGACACAGGTATTTGAGAAAAATCAAAGTGCATATTATAAAAGCTCACCTAGCAATTATCATTTAATTCAAAAACAGCATGAAATTTTAAGCATGTTATTCTCCAAACACAAAAATGCCTTCATTGTTCTCTTCAAAGAAAATCTTAGCTCTATCTTCGACATCAACATAATTCAGTATTTTCTTCATCTTCTATTTATTTGTTAACCTCCTCACATTTCTCCGCCTCTACCAACACCTACCCCTTTCAAACACAAAGCAAAACAAAAACCAAAAATGCTCTATAAAACAAACAAAAAAAACCAGAATAATTCTAAGAGAGCCACGAGAACAGAACAATCCTTCTCCTGACAGACCATAATCCAGAAGACCCCGTCAGGGCTCGGGGATCGCAGCAGGAAAGACGTTTTCCTCCAAAAGCCAGAAATCTACACACCATAAAATCACAGGGGACAAGGGCCAAAACACAGCCTCTTCTCTGCCCCTGCCTTCCCACTGGATTCCACTGCTTAGCACAGCCTGGCTATGAAAACTTAGAGATACCTGTTTGGCATCAGTGCTTGTCAACTTATTAAAAAGCAGAAAATATTCCAGAAGTCATTAGACTTAACAGAATTTATACATTGACGGGACATTTGCTTAGCTACTAAATGAGCTAATTCCACATTAAAAAATGGCTATATGATCAATTTTTATTGTTTTAGAATTCAAACTCATATATCCATTAAACATAGACCCAATCTCTTAATTAATGGTGCTGATACAGTTCTTATTGCTCAAAATAAAAAATATGAAGGTTTAAGAATTGGTCAAAAAATATTAAATTCCTACATATATTATCAGTGCAAAAAAATCAATGACTAAGAAGGAAATCACTTCATATGACTATTTTCATCCTCAAGGTAAAATCTGTGTAGAAGATTAAGACCTCTTTCCTGAGTGAAATTTTAATACAATTCAGTTAAAAACAACTGTAGCTTGTACTGAAGAAGAAAAACTTGAATTTGTAATTCTAAAACGATCAAAATATAACTTAAAAGAACATTTTGTATTCTCATTAAAGACATAAAGATAATACATTCGATAGGAAATTCAGATAATGCAGCAAAACTCAGACAATGAAGGAAAAATAAAATTAAATTTCAAGGAGGCAACTGAAAAGAAACAATGGCTACTCACCGCACTGATGTTTTGTTGAGTTGTCTTAATTCTCTGAATTTCAGGAGTATCTGCCACAGTAGAATAGTTAGAAAGCATCTTCTCTGCTTCATCTTTATACTTTTTCTAGAAATACAAACAGTTAATATCAATCCAAAACTTGGTATGCATATGTGCACGTATGAAAGAGACAGAGACAGAAAAAATGAACATGATACCACTTCCAATTCTACCACAAAGGCTGTATGCTGTGTCTTATGACTCAGCAGTCCTTGATGCAGCCACAAAAACAAAGGGATTATGCACACAGAGGAAGCCAGCAGTGCTGGGAGCATCTCTGCTCAGGCAGTGGTGGCCACCCCAGTCCATTCCATGGCCTCCGGAGGGGTGGGCCTCTGGGCTACTCTATGCCTAGAACCTACTCTTTAACAAGCAGTCCCCTCCCTGTTCGAAGTTGCTCCATGGTTCCCACAAGGCACCTGGCTCTCTATACCTACTTGTTTCCATGCTTCTGGGTTTAGGTTCTGCTTCCTACTTCCGATAAAGATACATTTGATTAAGGCAAAGATACTTTGCCTTAAGATAAAAATCTCAATTTTTACCTACTAAATGTACTATTATGAGCTCTGATACAACCTGGGTAATACCTCCCACTAGTACTAGCATTAAATGCTCCCACTAGTAGCATTTAATAATACTTCCTATGTAATAGGCATTGTTGCAAGTATGGAACACACATTAGCTCACTTAATTAATCCACAGATAGTATCATTATTTCCTCTTACCGATGGGGAAACAGAATCATTAACTAAGACGTGTCAGAAGAAGGATTTAAAACCAGGTGCTCTAATTCCCAAATCAGTAATGTTAATCATTATGGCGTACAATTACTTGTTAGGAAAAGTAATTATTTTTCATGTTGAAATGCACCATAGCATTATCACATCCTCTAGAACTGCATAGTATGCAAAATAATTAAAATTCCTTCAGATCAGATGTATCCTTGTGTCATACTCAAAAAAATCAACACTGGTAACTTAAAATAGAAATTCTGACAGCCCACACATCACCTCCTCTGGAAATCCTCAACACTTGAATCCTTTAGTTTCTGGTAGTATATATCATGGTTTGTAATACTCTACTTGCATGGTTATTTGATAATTAGATTACCTGTAGCTCCCCCAGAGCAAAACCGTATGTAATTTTGCATGTAAACAGGTATTCATTTGTTGAATGAATGAATGAGCTTGGTATTCTTAAGACAGCAACTTCTTTCCATTGACTTAAATGCCCATTTGTCTAGTTTATGCATTTATCTAAGAGATTACTTCAGCTGATATTACAGCCAATTTCTCCAAGTTCATTATGCCATCATGAGACACTGAGGACAGATGAGCAGGCACATCTGAACCATCCCACCTGCTGTGTCCTCTACGGAGGTGGGGACGCAGGCAGCCCCTCTGACATTTGACTCTGCCATCCTGATACTCAACAGTTTTTAGCCACCAGATGTTTAGACTCCTTCCTTATGTTTTAACCAGAATTTTAACAAATTTGGACAAATCTGATTAAAAGTTATTTTCAGTATAAACTTCATTAACCAAATTTAGTTCCTTGGTCAATTTTCTATAACCATTTTTTGCTTCACTACTTATTTTCCATTGGGATTCATTTTTTTCCATGCAAATTTTATAGCAAGGAAATGTTTCACTAGTGAATATTTTTGCTCAAATCATATTTTAATTTTTCTTTCATTAAATACTTTCTTTTGTGATCATTCTTGCTCCATATCAAGTTTTTCTAGAGGATAAATTTGGCAAATTATATCTCACCAAGAAAACTCAGTTCTTAATTTTTAGTTAATATTCACTTTGTCACCTTACACTTTGTGTAGTTTTTTTATTCACTCAGTTTTAGTTGGAGCTGATTATTTTAATGATAATATTCATTATAAAATGGGTAACAGACAACTCATTTGTAATCTTGTTTCTGTACAGTGAACATTAAGGCCAAGTACACAATAGGGTCTGTTTGTTTGTTTGTTTGCTTGTTTGTTTGTCTAAAAGGTCAAAATGTCCTTGGATGCAGAATAGCGGCCTGGCAGGTTAGCTCTGACAGTGAGTAAGGGCCGCTGAACTGGATCTGTGGCAGCTACCCCCCTTATTAGGGAAGTTCATTAAAATTTGGCTAGTGGTTCCTTTACACGGAATGCACTGACTTTGAACTCAGTGCCCTCAAAAAGTCATCAGTCATGGAAATGCACAAAACACAAGAAGACTGGACACTAGAATACAGTGTTCTGAGCAGCTTAACTCTCTACCAACCTGGCTATAGATTTCAGATGCCCTCTTGGCTCGCAGCATGTCTGGAATGTCCATACTCACTTGCATCCCTTTTCCTTTGATTTCATTTTCCAAGTCTTTCTTATATTCTATCTAAAAAAAACACAGAAAAAAATCTTCAGAGCTTTGCTTAGTCTTCCATAACAATGTAGATATTTTTTGTGTTTCGATCTCAAAGCCATACGTGTGGAAATAATATTTTATACTCTTTCTACGTACTATTCAATGTGTTTGTTTTAAACTTAGTATTTCGTTTCTCACCTGGCTGGCCATCTCAGATGCTTTCTTGGCTCTCTGGATGTCAAGAGTGTCTGTGCTCACCTGCATGCCCTTCCCTTTAATTTCAGTCTCCAGATCTCTTTTATAGTCTTTCTATAGGAAATAAAACATGCAATCAGGGCTCAAAAAACTTGATGTAATTTCAACATCAGAATCATGACTTTTGGAGATATTCTGGGCCTTTATTTCTATAGAACTACAGAGTTTTAACTTATGGTAGAAACATGACTCGGAACAACTTATACATAATATTACAGGAGACTTTCTTCTACTCACCTGAATTAACAAAGAAAATACAGTCAACCAGGAGAGATTTTATATTTCAAATGATAAAAGTTGATAGATTATATGTGAATATATCACTCAGTTAATGAATATCAATAGAATTGGGATTGTAAAATCGCTCTGTAGTGAACAATGGCTGGTTGCTTCCCTGAAACCTGACCCCTCTTTTCCCTTCTTTAGTTGCCTGACTTACTACTGCTCCCCCATTCTGAGCCACTCAGCTTGGGTGAGACTGAGCAGATGCATGGGCCCTGGGGATCTAAACCAATCATCATACCCTATCCCTGGCTCTTCATGACTGGTTCAGGGATGGTGCATTATTTTTCCGTACAAGATTTCAGAAGACATTTTCTTTCCTTCTGGACATGAAGGAACTAGCCCCAGGAGCTGCCAGATGCTCCTTTGCAAACAGAAGAAAGCCTAAGAATTGAGAGATAGAAACTGAAACTGAATTATATTGTTTGAGTCCTAGATCAAGATATATCTAAGAATTCTTCTGCTGTTTGGTACAAGAACAATAAAACATCTGCTTTTTCGAGCTAGCTTGAGTTGGATTATATGTTACTTCCAAAATAACAAAATGACATGCACAAACATCTTAAGATACTCTGGTCATACTTTAAAACTAATGAATATAAAATTCAGCATGCTGTACACTTATAATTGTGCACTTTTCTGGATGCATTTCTGTAATTATGTTTCTTCCAAACCAGTTATTTCCCATTGTGTTGACATATTCTTGATTTGTAGAAAACTGTTTTAAAGTAAATGTTGTCTTGCCTATTTATGATTTATGATTTCTAAATTTAGAGAAGTTGTAAAGAAAAACCTCAAACTCAGAGAAATATATCTTTCCTATCTTCCACTCATAAATCTGCCTATTTTCACTCACTTAGAGTCTCAGTTTCACTGTTCTGAATAAGAGTTCAAGTAATAATGTTTAAATGTCAAGAGAATAACATTAAATTATTGCTATGTCTAAAAAAGCTCTAAGTTTTTAGTAAACTTTTTAAGATCCCAAAATAAAACACTTCATTTGAAGGACAATATGGGCAGGAACTGAGTCACTAGTCATACAAGCCACCAAGGTCGCATGGTCGAAGGTGCATCATTTAATTTTCCAATAGGAACCTTCAAATCTAAAAAAAGTCTTCAAGCCCATAAACAGACTACACAGGACACTAGTTACACCAGTTATTTATTGATGCATACTAAAATACCCTAAACTAGAAGGCTTAAAAAAGCATGGTAACATTTACATTGCGAGAGGGCACTTCCTTTCAGAGTCTCTGCCTGAGTCGTGTTGATTATTTTCCCACTGACTAAAGAAAACCACATGGTTGAGCCCTTAGCTCCTGGATGGTTTAGTTTGGGGGGATCGTTCATTCATATATGGCAACAATATACCACACTGACTCGAAAAAATAAACTTGGTACTATGGCAATGTCCCAAACGCTCATTGATAAGGATTTGAGAACCTGTCCTTTGGGCAAAGTAGGACATGCAGTGATTATATGCAAATAAGATCTCTGAACTGCAAAGATAACTACATCTGCGCTACGTGTAACCATAGTACAGCTGACTCCTCTAGGCCTGTTTTTCCCCTAGGTTCTTAATAACTAAATATGTCATTTTCCTTTTACACAATCCCAAGATATATGGAGAAATCTAAGTCGGTATATCATCAAATAAAATAATCTATTACCTACTAAAGAAAGACATGACACAAAAGTAATTATGTCATAGAAGCCTGTTCTTAGGTAACAGTGGGAAATACAAAGTTTCAGTTCCTTCCACATTCTTTTCTCCAGGAAAAGGATGCTTTCTTTTGGCTTCAACTCTCAGACCTATGAGGATGACTTTGAAAACTCTTCTGCAGCCCTGAATTATCCTCGTATTCTAGTCTAGTGCCTTGAACTTGCACTGGATGTCACCCCCTCCTCAAAAAAACAAAAATTTCAGAGAATTCTGAGTAGTGATTTGATAGTTCCTGGATAGTTAGTTACTCGAAGTCCTAGGAGGTCACCATAAGGAAGTACTATTAAATCTAGGAAATGAACAACAAGGAAAAAGTATAAGGAAGAACCAACCACACAAAGGCCATGAGAAAGACTTTCAGGAAGTCACCAGAGCTGTACAGAGACCCTAAAACCTGTGAGGGCACAAACTGGAAGCCTGTGAGGCTGGAGCACGATAAACAAGGGAAGCAGGGTGCAGGGTGAGGATGGGCAGAAGGGGGAGCTGGGATGCCAAAGCAAGGAGTATGACATCCCTGCAGGCCACGACTGGAACCTGCTGAAAAGTTTTAGGCAGGGAGAGAAACATAATTTAATTCTTTAAGGATGCTTCTGGCTGGTGCACAGAGAATGGATACTAAGGGAGAAAATTCTGATAGGAATCCACTGAATAATCTAGGTGGCAGAGATGGTAGCTTGGGCCAGGGCGCGGAGAAGAGGATGGCTTTAAAAAAACATTATGGAGCCCTGGCTGGTGTAGCTCAGTGGATTGAGCACAGGCCTGTGAAGCAAAGGGTCACTGGTTCGATTCTCAATCAGGGCATATGCCTGGGTTGCAGGCCAGGTCTCCAATAGGGGATACATGAGAGGCAACCACACATGGATGTTTCCCTCCCACTCTTTCTCCTTCCCTTCCCCTCTCTCTAAAAATAAATAGATAAAATATTTTAAAAAAAGAAAAAAACATTATGGGATGGAGACAATAAAACTTTCTGACAAGTGGAATCAAAGCAACTTCTGTGATTTCACTAATGCCATTTTCTAAGAAGGAGGTCGAAGAGAGAAGCAGATCTGAGGAAAAAGTAAAGGTTCTGGTTTGGGGATGCAATGCTGAGTCCCTGTTATAAACACTGTATATGTCATTTACATGTAGTGATATTTATGAGACACCAAAAGGTAAGAGGTTGCATATTCACATCCATGTTATATAAGAATGAGAAAGAACTATATGAAGTGACACAGAAAAGGGAATATTGAGAGAAATATTCCCTTTTATTGTAATATTGAGAGAAAAACAAGCACAGAACAAAGTACATAGTATTTCAGTTTTTTAAGACTGCATATGTACAAATGTGTGTTATCCATAACTACATAAATATAGATGCAGAAGGCTCTACAACAAATTTGTAACAATGGTTACCTCTTGTGGGGAGAAAAGAATTATGGTTAGAGTAAAAGGAGGTTTTTAAGACTTATTTAGCATGTATCTCTCCTCTGCCATTTCTAAATGGAACCCCTATTGGTCAAGAATTCTATGCCATCCCAGTTTCTCTATGTAAATCCATGAGGGCCATCCCACCCCCTTGGCAAGTACCAAATCCTGGTGATGTGCACAGGTCCCCACACACCAGTAACTCCCTGGGCAAGTTAGGCAGCTACTTCCACCCTCCAGATATCCAGAGTGGGAGTCAATCCTGAGCCAGCTCTTGTAACTGCAAGTGACACTTTATAGCTCTTGGAGTAGCCCCACTGAAGCATCCCTGCAATCAGCCTGGACATAATTGAGCAGCACCCCTTAACCAGCACCCCAGCTTTCTCTTTACATAAGCTTCTTATAAAATCATCTCTTTCTAAATGCTATCCACTGCACTGACCCTTTTATAGTCTTGAAAGTTTGGGAGTAACTTCAAGAGGTATGGTACCAATTCTGGGGTACGTCCTTTGAAAAACACATCTATAGTCTAACTCCTACAACTTTGTTATCTGACATCTATCATATCATAGCATCTAAGCCCAAACTTCTGAATTAACACCCTGTCACTACACCTATTACATGAAGAGGAAATGGCGCTAGACAAATGAACGTGGTCACTGAGGATTTACAACACCTCAACCCCCCAGGCCTACTCCGGAGAAATGGCAGGCATGGTGATGAGGCCAACAGAGGATATTTTGAGAACATGCAACCAAATCACACAGACACGGCTATCAATGCCACGTTAGGGTCTTCACATGTGATTTTCAAGTTCTGCTGAGAAAGTTGGAAACACAGAAATGTCAAGTCACATATGATCCATCCTTAAAGAAAAAGTAGTATGAAAACATTTATCATGGCCTAGATTAACATGAAATTTGTTGTCTTATAGGATAAGGTGTGTGTGTGTGTATGCACACGTGTGTGTGTTATATTAAAATGCCCTCCCCCAAGTTTTCTCTGATATTTTTAAAGGAACTGAGCAAAGCAGAAATTGTAAATTTTCAAATAAGCATAATGATTTGAAATGCCTTCCAATCCAAACTGTTAAACTAGTCACAGAAAGCTTTGGAAAATTCCATGTAATAATCAAGTTGCGAATACGACTTGTTAGGCTCCAAAATATGAAACTCGAAGTCTGCACCATTTACTGTACTAACCTGGGAAGCTATCTCTGAGGCTTTTCTGGCATGTTGTATTTCAAGGGTGTCAATGCCAACTTGCATTCCTTTCCCTTTAATTTCTAACTCCAGGTCTTTCTTGTATTCTTTCTGTAAAATAACAACACTTTACAACATTCAGACACTCAGGGGACAAACACATATCTGTATTCAATGATACAAAAAAGTGGCTAAACATATTTAATAAAGAAGAAAAAAATCACAGCTTACTTTGTTCTGTGAATGACCAGTGAAAACTAAATTTTCTAAACTGCTTAGAACTATAATCATTATTCTCACTACAAAAAAGTATATGAAACTGAGTATTTTTACTCTAAGACCATTGCCAGGTGAGAATCTTCAATGACAATTGTCTTGGGGTCTGGAGGACAGGCAGGCAGGTTTGAGTGAGTGGATGTTGTAGAAAGAAGACTGACTTTGACAGCTTGACAGCTATGTGACACTGGGAACGTTTCTTAACCGTTCTGGTTTACTGATCTGCAAAATGGGGATGATTCCTCATGCAGAATCACTGTGAAGTGTGTTAACTAACTGGAAACTTCTGCTCTTTCACTGCTGTCCCCATACATTAAGACCTGATTTACTGCTGCTCCTGCCACCATCTTGCCATTCAACTGCATCTGCCCAGGCTCTGCCACTGAGAGTTCAAGACCATTTTTCCAAGTATTACTGACAAATGATTACAAGATCTGCCTGTGAATGTGTAATGGACATGTCACCATAATAGAAAAACTTGCAGAAAGTTTCTAATGTAGAAATGTATAATGACAATATCAGCCAAAGGTCACAGTGAACATCCGTTGTTTTTGCCTGACCAGCATTCATTCCTCCTTCTTCTGGCAAAGAGTTCCATCAGTTTCTTTTCGGGAATTGTCTCTAACCCTCTCAAGCCATACGCTCTGGGTGGGTTGATTTCTCCTCTTTGCACTTGCATTTTTAATTCCACTAAAATGCTTTTAGTGGTTCCTTTAATTTACTTGAAGAGCATGAATATGGTCAAAGATAAACGTAAATTTTCTTAATATACATAACAACTTAGAATATATCATAATTAAAACATGGTTAAATTACCTAGGGAGTTAACTACGCAAATGGGTGACCAGGAGAACCGTCCCAGGTCATTACACCCTCCTGCCCCCAGACACAATGATTGAGTCAGGTAAGGGCACAGGACAGAAGGGGATTCGATGAGATTCCCTCTTTGGACTTAAATTACAACTATAAGAGAACAGATGCTCACTTCCCACTGAGATTACTCGCCGCAGAGATGAATCATCTTGTCCTTACGAGGGGCTTTTACTTAGAGATAGCCACCCAAGAGTGAAGCAACAAAGAACATAACAGAACAAAGAAATGAAAAAGAGAGACATCATTTGAATTCCAACCTGAAGGAAACTTGATTTTTGGACTTCTCCAGTCATAAACCAAAACATTTCCTTTGTTGCTTAACCCAGTTTGAGTGGGGTTTCTATCCTTTGCAATCTAATAGGGTCATCATCATTATCATCACCACAATTTATTAACAAATGGGTATGAAGCTTTGAATTTTTTCACTGCTAAATTCACCTAGATTCTCCTCAAAACACAGTACCATTATTTGATATCAATGTAATGACATAAGACAAGAGTTAAGGGACTGAAAGCATTTTGGAGGCACTTCATTTCTTCTTATAAATGTCATGTAAAGTGAGGAGTGGCTACTTTCGTGTCCTAAAGAGATTTAACTAGACCCATGTCGCGCTCTGGGCAAGGACGGGAGACCCGGTTGGGTTGTGAGCAGCGAACCCGTAACGCTGCAGTTACCGACAGACCGTGATGACACAGCTTCTTAATATTCTGCCTTACTTGCCTAAAAGATAAAGTTACATCTCATAAACTTGTTTTGGTTTACAATACAGATTTGTCTCTACAAATGGAGAAATGTCATTTTTCTCATATCACATTAAAAAGAAAAATGAGCACCACTTTTTAAAATTAATTGATTGGGAAAAGATTACTAGGACATAGCTATCCATAATCATCTTACACATAAAAGTTGTGAAATACATCTTATAGATGTATTTTATCTATAAAATATCTATTATATTTATATTTGTACCCACTAAAAGATACAAAATCTTTGAGAAAATTTTATAGATTAAAAAAATCAGCTAAATATTGACATATTTTTAGTTGTTATATAAATACACTCACCTCACTAGCCATCTCAGATGCTCGTTTTGCTCTTTGAATATCAAGAACTTCTGAATTAAGGTCCATTCCTTTTCCTTTTATTTCATTTTCCAAATCTTTTCTATATTCCTTCTGTGAGACAAGAATATTACAATCTGAAATTTACTGAGAAATTACTTTTAACTTGTATACTGTTTTACTTATTTTCTAGAAACCGCAGAAAGGAGAAACTATTTTTAGAAAGGAATGAATCAGACTCTGAGGCATTCCTGCTCTTTATTTCCTACAGAAATTTTCTCTTGTAAACATATTTAGCCCTGGCTGGTGTGGCTCAGTGGACTGAATGCTAGACTGGGAACCAAAGGTTTGCCAGTTCAATCCCCAGTCAGTGCGCATGCCTGGGTTGCGGGTCAGGTTCCCAATAGGGGGTGTAAGAAAGGAACCACACATTGATGTTTCTCTTCCTCTCTTTTCTCTCCCTTCCCCTCTCTAAAAATAAATAAATAATTTTTTAACAAAATACTTAGAGTAGCTTCCCATATTATCAGTCTTTTCCCTTTCATTCTTTCTTCTAATATATTTTGGTAGCACATTGGTGCCACATTTTTAAAATGATTTCCTCCTTTAAATGGTGAGGAAGATCTTAGGAATACATGCTTCTTATCAATTATTGGAAGTATTTCTTTGAAAACTGTCTATAAAATATAAATCACCAAAAAAACACAGCTGAAAAAGAGTGGAAAATTACAAAATCAAAAGGACTGGTGTAGCCAAAGTTTTAAAATAAGTTTCAATTTTATTCAAGGAGTCATAAAACCAAATAATTTCCTACAGGTTAATAATATGTAGTTTGAATTTCACCTATTTTAATATTATATTTTAGGTAGATTCAACTGACTTTACTAACACATATATAACTTGAGTCCTTGGTACTAAGGAATTTCTTGTTTTCTTACTAATTGCATCATCAAAATAATATCCTAACCCAATTTCACTAATCTGCACTGATGACTAACTTGACAGATGAAAGATGACACTTCCTTTAATGATAAGAAATCAGGTTCTAGTTAATTCTAGGGTTCATTTCATGCTATTCTCTCTTTGTCCAGTATAATTAAATTAGCTGGTCCCCTGCTTAACTAATAGCCTACAAGACATTGTAATGACCTGCATGTAATTTTGGAAAGAGCTCTGGCGTCAAATGACCTGGAGGAGAGTCAGAGCTCTTCCAATAATTTGTCCATGCGACCTTCAAGAGTCTTTAAGTAACTGAGCCTTGATTTTCACATGGACAAAAGGAAAATAAAAATATTATGCTGCCAATGTTAAAGGACAATTGAAGAAATAAAATAAAAATGAAGCATAAAATGATACTCTGAACACTCTAAATGGCAACATAAATGTAAAACTATAATACAATAAAACACGCAAAGACTATTTAAAGCTAAATGCTTACACTTAGAAAAGGAAGTTACACTTTCATTAAGTCCCTAAAAGTGCCTTTTTAAAACTAGACATCTCTCTAACTTAATTGGAAGATTCTAAATCAAAGACTTCTGGGCCTTTTTTTTTTCTATCCTGATGTATACAGGCTGAATCAATAAATCTGAAAACTAGAGAAGATTCACTCAAAAAGAGGAATAAAAGAAAAAGGCAATGGTGTTATATTAAAGCCACTTATGGATCTCAAAGTAGACCTCCCATTCTCATTTGTATGTAAATAATGAAAAGATTCCCCTTTTAAAAATTCACATAAGCAGTGTATATTTTTTTAAATGGAAGTCAACAAAAGTGGGAAGTTGCCATTTGATTACCCTTTAATTTCAAAACACTTTATAGAAACAAAAGTGAGAAAAGATAAGGTAGCAGAAAAACTCTTCCATAAATTATATGCCTATTTCAGCCCAACATATATTACAACAGTGAATCACATTAAATGCATAAAAGCAGTTAAATGAGAAAGGCCAGTTGGCACCTGATTTTTAAGATGATGCATGTCTATGTAGGTAATTATACTCATTTGTTTCACTGGTTTAAGACATTTCTTTCAGTAATAATTTCTTCAGTTCAAAATTCAGATGAAATGGAGTTCTTCAATGCATTTCCTTAATGTAAAGAGACTCTATTTAGACAGAGAGTTGGAAGAGCTCCGGCTTACTTTGCAGGCATTTAAAAAAAGGGGGAAACTTTTAAAGGGATAGACGGTGAACACAGTATTTTTAATTGTTAGGTATGAGGACCTTGATGCTCAGTAAATTTAATACATTAATTGTGAGCAAAATGCACCACTAAATTTGGGGGTGGGGGTAGAATATGAATGAGAATAAAATAAAAAATGGACATGAGTCCTGTGTTCTGTGTGCTAACTATATTATTTTCCCCACTGTACTTCAAACACAAACCACTTATAAATAATGTAATGTTTACCCAGACCTTCACACAGATGCACCTTATTTCTGATATCAAATGCCATGAGAATGCTGCAGGGAAGTTTAAGAAACTGCTTGTTCTAACAGGAAAGTGAGAAACTGTTACTAAAGGTCAATGTGAGGGAAAGAGAATGGATTAATATCTGAAACTCATTGAATTAGTTGAGAATTGTTAACTAAACATTTTCAGGATCATTTCTTTAGTTTTTTTTTTGTTTTCTTTTGCAACATTTAATGGTGATTATTAGGATCTTACCTCCTTCAGAAGGTTGGTGATGTACTTTGCATGTAAAAATTCTGGAGTCTTGTCTAAATCCATTGACGACCGTCCTTTAATCTCTTTCTCAAAATCCTCCTTGTAAATTCTCTGTTAAATAAGGCCACATAATTTTTAAACCAACAAAATACTAGTGACTGTTGAAAAGGTATTTGAACAAGAATCCTCAGAATAAAACTGGTATTTTTCTTATATAACTCCACCACCTCAGAGTCTTCTTATCAGCAGGACAATAACTCCAACTTTATCAAAAACTTTAGAATTCTACCAAACAATGGCAAAATGTTCAAGTACCAGCTCCCTCTGGGAAAGCCTTCTGAGTGAGGCTGCTTGACATCTTATGGTCTGTTATTGTATGACATCAGCCCATGTTGGGAGGAGAACCAATAAAGTTGGCTATGTGATTGGATCACCTGACTGGTTCACTCAAAAGAAAGTGGATCGTCCACTGGAAGGAAGCCCGGCAGACAGCAGAGAAGCCCCTTCCAACCAAAGCAGTATTAACGTTCATGTTTTCATCACGCTTCACACTGTCTGAATTCAGGAAAGACCATTTCTGAAATGTAATGGAGGCAGGAAGGGAAGATTTTCCTTTAATGAGTTGGCAGTGAGAATGTGTTTCTACTGTCTATGGAGTTTGATGTCAACCAAGGTACACTGTGAAGAAAATCTTACCTTTAACCTGATAAATTTTTCTTTAGGTGATTGTTCACAGGGAAATGAAAGACACAGGCAGTGACAGTGGAGGCCTAAACCCATGTCCCCATCGGCCCTCCTGCCACTCAGCCACCCCTGCGCTATGACTCTCTCAACTCTACTGTTAGAATTACACATTTGCAAATCAGTAAAAAGCTGTGTTTTATGACTATAAATACAGTCTGAATAACAAAAGTGTCCATCCATGTGAAATATTTGCCAAACAAAACCCAAGATTTTTACCACCTATATGTTTTATTCAAATTGCATCACAAAGATGAAAAAAAATCTGCATGAGATTGTCATTAAGGCAAAATGGAAAGCTTTCCCCAGGTTCATCATGCACTTATTACAGGGATAAGTCATTATATAAGGAAATCCTCCACAGCCCGGGGGAGGAGGAGAGAACAGGCTGTCTCCTCCTCTACGTCTGCGCTACGTAGTGAGCAAATAATCCAGGTGTGGCCGGGGAAGAGCCGCAATGGATGTCCTGTAAATACGGAAATTAACCAAGCTAATCACTGAGTTGCCCCAGAAATCATTCTGAATTAAAGGAATGACAGACACACCAAAGAACAATGATGAGAAGTTGTGCTCTAGGGCTGGATCTAGGCCCCAAATGACTTTCAAAAAGTGAAATATAAATATGTGCGTATTGATATTATTTCAAATATTTTACTTCAAAAAGCCCTTCTCCTCTATAAAAAATTACTTTACTAAAATAAGTTATTAAGGAAGGTTGATTATGACTAAACGCAGCCAATATACGACTGAGAGGGAAAAACACTCTTTATATGCTTCTTATTTGGATAGGAGAGCTCTCTTTGCAAAACAGAAGCCAAAGAACTTTTCGAAACCAGATTTAGAGATTTCTTCTAGCAAGCACACTGTCTCTGACAGTAGAAGAAAGCGAGAGAGGCATAATTATTGGCTGTAACAAAAACATGAGTGGCTGTTCCCAAGGTGCATCAATATTTCGCTTTACTCATAGGAGGCTCCCAAAGTAGCTTCTGGTCAAGTTTATTTCTTAGAGTACACACCACCTCTTTGAATCTACTTCATTGGTCCTGCATTCAAATACATCCTTCATATCAAAGTTTGTCTAAGATGTTTAGATATTTTACTTTTCTAACATAAGATTTCATACTAAATTACACAGTACAGATCTTTATAGTGTAAATTTGGTCCAAAGATACTTTCTATAGGAAGATTTCTTTCTCCTCCAGCACTGCTGAGCTAAAACATGATGCTAAGCCTAAAAATCTAATCGCCAATGGCTGTGATTGAAGGGAAGTGCGTGTTAGTCTCTGCAAAGGACAATTCCTCCCTAGTGACAACGCCAGAAATCAGACTAGCAAAATTTGAAAGCCAATGTTAACAAAAGGTGTACACAGGCCCCATTGTAAGTGAATTCTTGCTCATCTGATAAATGCATAACTACAATTAAACATTAAAGCTGATTTATACCTGATGTCAGAACAGCCAACCAACAGCAGTGAATTTTGACTAATTTTTTTGTCAGTTCCCACTGTTTAATCTTCCTTCTGTTCTGCAGAACCACAGCAATGGGGAAAGCCCAGTGCTGGCGATCAGGCTTCGCGATCGGCACAAACAGACGTGCACACAAAATGTGCAGCGCGTTTCCAGTGCTGAGGGCACCTTTGAAGCCCCCATCATCTGTGTAATGAAATTTGTACTTGGGGAATTTCTCCTCTTTTCAGGGTCCATACTGACTGGGAAAAACATCATCTAAGCAGTTCATGTAAATAAAGATAATTTAGTCTACGTTGCCCATTGATTCATTGAGAAGCAAATATCTGTATGTTTTGGGGCTTAAGAAGATGTAAAATATTAAAAAGTAATTGTTTTCTCTTCTCTTGCTTGAAAAAAAAATTAAACAACTTAAGGCTATTCAACAAGCCACAGTGCTGTCTGAGAGCTCTTTCCCGGAGAAGGTGAATTGGAGCATCTCAACAAATAGCACATGTAGTGTTTACAAAATTCCTGTGAGAGTTTTACTGTCCAGAAGTTATCACTTCTCCTGTGTTCCTGTTGTTACCGGAGAATAGAAAAGCTCTTGTGCATGAAGCCTTCTTGGAGAGGAGCACTGGTGGTGTAGTCGGCTGACGCCAGTGCCCATAATTGCTAACCTGTTCAAGGAATACCGTGGTTGTACTTACAGAACTGGGGTGTGGGCTGCAGACCTAACCTTCTGTGGCTGACATCTCCCCCACCCCTCAGCCAAACCAGACATGGAAGAAATTTCACTGGGACAGAGAGCAGAGCCCGTGTGGGGAGTATGTGGGTGTGACTTAGTGTCATCATAAGTGGAGAGCGACACTTTCTCTAACTGGGGGAAAAAAACAAAACTGATGACTTGGCCAGGTCCTAAAACACTGGAATTTACTGGATATATCATTTCAGATAAAACAATTACTTTCAGTGGAATCATTACCAATCTAGGGATGTCCACTTGGCATCATTTAATCCTTAAGAGGATTAAATGAGCTGACATAGATAAAGCACTTAGCATATTACTTAGCACAGATTACTTAGTATTGAATAAGTACAGAATAAATGTTGGTTCTACTGTGATTGCCAAAAAAAAAGGGTAAATAAAGCAATTAGCTCTTCTTTTTCATTTTTTTAATCTACTCATCAAAGTTTTTACGTGGACTCACCCAAAAGTGTCAATTTTATAATCACAGCATGTGGGTGCTCAGAGAGGTATTAAGAGTTCACAGGGCCTAATATCCATATTTGCCAAACAGGAAAAACTAAGGGCCAGATGATCCAACAGGAAAGCTGCTTAGATCCAAACTTCAGATCCCCTGGGTCTTCCTGGGCAGGTCCTAGAGATCCACTGGACTTTCTGAACCACTTTCCTGAACCCTTTCAAATAATAAAACACCGAATATGTGTTGAGCAGTTGATAACAAATCAAGGGAACTCACCTCACTTTGCATTTTTTGAGCCTCCTTTGAAGCTTGATATGATGGTGTCTCAACAAATTCAAGCATCGATTTCCCCTTATTTTTCTCATATTCTTCTTTGTATTTAACCTTCATTGAAAACAAGTATAAAAAACATATAAAGTTCACAAGCCCTTATTATGCAAATAGAGCAAAGTAAAATAAATGTGTCCCAAATTAATCATCCTGTTTTCTTTTATTTATTTATTTATTAGATTTTATTATTTTTAGAGAGAGGGGAGGGAAAGGGAGAGAAACATCAATGTGAGAGTGAAACACTGATCAGCTGCCTCTCACTCACTTCCCGTTGGGGGAGGAACCACAACCCAGGCTCGTGCCCTGACCGAGAATAGAACCCGTGACCTTTTGCTTTGCAGGATGAGGCCCCCAACAGAGCCACACGGGTCAGGGCATCATCCTGTTTTCTAAAAACCACATTATTCTGTCCACTGAGGTTGATCCCTGGGCCCCCTGTAGTTAATGACATACAAAGAAAGTAAAGATGTAATATATTTAAAAATTTTTAAAGAAATAACAGCAATTTAGAACTACTAAGTTTACAGTTCTAGCTCCTGAATAAAGTATTTAAATAGCTGGGATACACGGCTATATATTATATACATAGGGTTATAAATGTATACACACACGGCATATAGATATAGAAAGAGAGAGGAGGGAAGGGCGAGAGAGACCCCTGTGGTAGCTTAAGTGTATCCGTAAATCATGAACAAGAAAGAAGACATAGTTATGATTCTCTATCTTTCTGTCAAAGGGAGGACAGTGTTCTCTGGGATTGCTGAATTTTTCCATAGCCATTGGGTAAAACACACACAGAGCTTTTATGTCATTTCTTTCAGTTTCGCATGCATTACTTAATATCATGAATTTTTTATTTCGATTACAACCAATCTTTAACTTATTTCAGTTTATAAATTGATTGATATTTTCCATCTACTAACAACAAAAACTAAAACTATATATAAACTGTCAGAGTGGTTGGCTTTTTTAGCAATATAAAAATTACAAAGTTATAATCATAGAAAAGTTTTAATCATGATTCATTTCACTCAGAAGTATACTTTCACTTAAATTCTTATGTTTTATAATAATACAGTTATTTCTTGAGTTATATAATAATAATTTAATGACAATTAAATCCAAAAGAAAATTTTCAATACTTAGAAAACATAACAAATTTTAAAATTCCTATTTGTAGGCATATTTCTGTTTCAGAGAAGTATGACAGAGTGATCAATGAAAGCATCTGAATTATATAGTATACTACATTGGGATAAAATTTTGTGGGAAAAATAAAATTAAAATAAGAATGGAAAGAAAAAAGAAAGTATGTGCATCTCTAGACCTTAAAGGAGAGCTATTCGTGTATTTTTTTTAAGGCGGATGTCAGAGCATTATCAAATTTATGTCCCACAGGATACATTTAAGAGTGATGCAAAATTTGATTTTAGATGTTGGAAGGACATACTTCGAAACTATTGAAATGCAGAACAAAAAAGATATAGATATCGAATTAAAAGTGTGCAAAGGAGGAAAATACTTTTTAAAAGTTTGTTTTACGGAGTACACAGAATTTCATAGTTGACAGAAACAATGTAGAATACAGTGGCAAAATAGTTTTCCCATTTTTATAACACAGTTGAACTGTGAAATTATAACAGACTTGGTACCTGGGAAATTAATATTGTAGCACAAAGTGACAAATCAGTACACTATAAAAATTGAAATCATCATGAGATTTGATCACCATTTCATTGACTCACATACTGTAAGTTTTGAATTATGTGAACTTACTGTTATCTTATAAGATACCTTTACATTGAAACACGGTCTAAGTTTCCCAAACTCAGTAAGTACCGAGAGAATAGTGTTTGAGATTTTCAGAAGCAACACTGACTTTCTCAGGGTATATGTGCTTTTCAGTAGCTCCACACTCTCAGTCAGGTGCAGGCAGTGAGCGGTTGCAGGGTCCAGGCAGGGAGGGTGCGTACCTGACTCTGGAGAGTGGTGTTGCCTTTGTGGTGCAGGTGTTCTGCAGCATCAGCATCAAAATGATACGTTCCTTTGTTTTCCTCAAAAAGTTTTCTGTACTCTCGCTAAAACAGAGAACATGAAATTTTCAAATTCATAATAAAAGAAGAGCAACTGATACTTAGGAATGCAAAGTGGAAAAAATAAGCCAACGAGAGCTGCAAGGTTCCCATCTGCAGTCAGCTGGTATTTCTATCCGTGAGATAAACCAAGAATGCAACAGAGACCAGCTCTAAGTGATCAGTGTGAGTAGCATATGAAACACTCAAAAGAAGCAGAGGACAGTTAGCTGTAAGCACAACGTCAAAGACAGTCACAATGCTGGAGTGGCGATGGAAAAGCCAGGCACAGGACTAGAGTATATGGCCAAGGTGAGCAAAACATAGGCAGTTTGTCCTGCCCTTATTTGTCCTGCCTATAGAACAGGTAAGTGTGTAATAGTGTCTCCAAGAAGAGGAGAAAAAAAAGGAAGAAAGAAGAAAGTTGGAGGCAGACAGAAAAAAGTTGTATACAAGGGCTCAGCCATGAGGGGGATGAATGGTCATAAGGAAACTGAGAGAGTGAGACATGATCCAACTAATTTTCCTAAAAGGAGAGGTTAGGAGGTATCTGGGAGAAACACTGAAAAATCTGGGTAGATTTGGTTGAAATTTTAAGGTAAAGAAATTGGATTAAGGCTATTTACACATACAGACAAAAAGGTGAATATGGAAGACACCAAAATGGATGAGAATGCCAAATTTGGCAACGAATATGGAAGACACCAAAATGGATGAAAATGCCAAATTTGGCAACGAAGTAAAATAGTCGGCAATAAGACAAAAATTACTTCATAATCTTGATAACTGGATATTGGGCACTTGCTTATTTTGCCATGTTTGGAAGAGACTTTTAGAGGTGAACAGTAATTCTCAGAGACTCAAGTCTGCAAAGGCAATCTACCGCTAGTTAGGCAATAAGGGTTCCAGTGACAGTGGCCACACTGTGCAGAGTGGAGGGCGAAGTGCGCAGTGCTGGAAAGGAGGCAGGGAAGGTCTGCCGCAGTGAAACCAACACTGGGTCTCAGCAGACAGCCAGACGTCTGAGCGTGAAACAGGAAGACGCCCCAGTGCTGAGGATGGAAGGGAACCGCGACTCCACGGACACAGAGCAATGGTCCCCAGAGGCACGTTCAGGCAACTGGAGCGATGTGTCCCCCACAGCTCTAACCAGAATACAGTGGAGAAAAAGGCCCAGAAAGCTCATGACAATGTTCGCATACTACGTTTTGACTGAAGAGAACAAGTTCTAAATTTTGGCTCCTCTGCTAATTAAAGAAAAAAAAGAAAGAAAGAAAAAAATCTCTAAGGATAAAACCATACTTAGAGACTTTATAATTTGATTAGAAGTTATTTTATAATATATGTTCATAAAATAATCATGAATTGAATGTGAAAAGCTAAAACATATTCCATACTGAGTTAAAATCTGGAACTAATAAAGTCTAGGATATTACATCTGAAATAATATTCTGAGAAAAGGTCAATAAATATTTTCCCCAAAAGAATAATCTATTATGGTTAGAGAATTTCTCAGAAACTCCAATTTTAACAAAATAAAGTAAAATAAGAAAACGAAACCTATTTGAATTAAGATCTGCAAAAGAACTTTTAATACTTGCCGTTCCTTGTATAGTAGTCTCTGTTGCCTCCTAGTGGGAGTTACACAGAGTAACACACAATATGTATTTTTAATTTATGCAAAGTTATAAAAGAAAACTATAAGCTACTAACAGCTCAATTTCCCAGGGGTAAATGTTCCCTCAAAAATGTAATTAGTATAGCTCACAAACTTACAGTGATTTCACTCTACACACTATGCATTAAAATTTTTTAAAATATGATTTATACCAAAGACATTTAGAGGTCTTTAAAAACAGCCATCTATAACAAATTGACAACTACTTCTGGCAGAATGTCTCTTTATTAAATATCTCTTATTCAATATTTTAATACAATTAAATAGCCTGTATAAATCTACAAAATTCCAATTTTCTTTACGTTTTTTTAGAAAATTTAAAAGGAGGTAATTCTAATAGACAATCAATTTAAGCCAATATATTATCAAACAACTTTAATAAATAGATACCTTGGATTAATGCATTTTTGAGACTTAAACTTTCTCTCCCTTGAAGTGATCACTAAGTTGCAATTCTATGAGGCAAAATGTCTATAATCTAGGCAAAAGCACCACCTAAACAAAGATTTAAACTTTATAAATGGTATATAAAATAAATGCAATATATGACTTTGCTGGGTTTTCTCTGTTAAAAAGATGATAGAAACAACCTAAACTGTGATTTTTCACCATTATTATAAACTAAGGGTCAATATTCTTGAAAAGTAATACTGCCTGAGTGGCATGCTTCCAGCTACCAAATTTTTAAATTACCACCAAGATATTTTTATTGGCTTATTAACACACAAATCCTCATGTCCTAAGGAAATTGAACCCAAGTACCATGAGAAACAGTCAAGGGCAAAATGCCAGCACAAGGATCAACACCGGACAAAGGCCACAGGTGAACTGTTGGGAACAACCCTGCCTGGTTTCAGAAGCTATAATCCCTTCTGCGTAAGGCTGAGTAAAGGACCTTGGGACCATAAGCCACTTAGGAGACAAAGCTTATCTTCCTTGTAAGGGCACCACCTCTGCCCCTTTATCTCCACCCTGCTTGGCCCCTAGTGGATGACTGGTTAGCCAATGATGGGTAAGATTCCTCAAAAGAGAGACGACCTAAGACAGGTATGGTCTCGAAGGTGCCCTCAGGGAAGGACTTGGGGACTATAGAAAAAGGGGGTGATGGACCCTTGCCCCTGGCTTTGACATAGCCTGAGTCCTCATTCTGTCTGCCAGAAATCTCCTAATCTCTCAGCTGCCTTACTTCCCCTGCCTGATTTAAGCCTGAAACATTTGCCTTAAAAGCCTGAAACAATGCTGAAGGTGGGTTCAGCCCTGTGCTGGAAAGGGCAGTTTCCCTAGGGTGATCAGGCCTAAGAAAGAATGCATAAAATCCTATGAAACTTACTTTGCTAATACCCCCAATTTAAATGATAAGGGTCCAAGCAGGAAGTGAGTTTGTTCCCCAAAGTTTTATGGCCCTTTAATATCTGACCCTGGCTCAGAATAAGCCCTAAGAGTTCTTTGAATGTTATCTATTGTTTAATCATTTCTGCCTGACAATAATTGATGAGCTTTATGTATATACCCTGTATTGCTGTGCAAATTGAAGCCAATAAAAGGCCTGTCAAGGCAAGAGTCAAAGCACTCTGATCTTGAGAGAGTGGCTGAGGTGCTCCAAGGTTTTTTCCTCCTCTTGAGAGAGAAGCCGCACTGTCCCTTTTCCTCCACAGGATTCGGTGGTCCATGTGAATTTGTCTTATCCATAATGCCACAGACCCCAGGAGCCAGGATCCAAGCCAGTGAACAAAGCAGATCAGAGGATGTATTGAATGGAGAAGCCTGACTATGAGTCATGAAGGAAGACCTGACCGTGAGGCAGAGACGCTCTGGGAGCAGAGGAGTGTGCGCAGGGTGCACAGGCAGGCGCTGAGGCCGCAGGACAGCGGGTTAAGTGTCCTTGATGGATCCTGATCCTGGGCCTCACGGCCCTCTCACTTTCACTCTCTGCTCAACAGACTGGACAGAACGGCAGGCTGCTTTTCCTCCAAAGAACAGTGGTAAAATTAATTACCTCGTTTAGAACTTTCTAACAATGCAAATTATTTATGTGCATAGTGCATCCCATGAAGGATGGTGCAGTGGTGCAGAGGAAAGGAGGATCACAACATAATGGACACAAGTTTTGATACATCAAAGCCAAGGGTAGACATTTCAAACCTGCACCAGAGCTGTATCTCGATAGTTTAGGAACCAGGTTTGGACTGCAGGTGCTTTACCCCATGATTATGGGCCCACCTCCTGAAGACAACTCTCTTTACTTTTGCACATTACTTGCCCAACACACTTTTCCATCTGATCTGTATGTGGCCCAAAGCAGGTATTCAATAAATTTGGAAAATTTAGAATGAGTAGTTATTAAAATTGGCATAGAAATAACCTGAGGTCAAATTAGACTTCATCACCACCATAGGGCATTCTGAGATGCAGGAAATGGAGGGATAGGTGAGCCAGAACATCGGTTATGAGCATCAGTGACATCACTAAGTGTTTGAAACAGTGGACAGGAGGTGGGTCCTAATGGAATGACCCACTCAGCAGTGTATTCGAACATTTTCAGCAGGACTTAGAGAAATCGCCCTCCCGGCCTAGTAGCACTGAAGAAAAGAGGGGAACCTTCACAAGACTAAAAGTATAATGTCCATGTAAACACTTTTAGCACTTATTTTAAGAGAACATACAAATTAGACTAAAATAATGTTGTTATGTTACAGAGGCCTATTAAATACCAGACACTCTGCTCTGGCCTGCATAAAAATAAAAGATCTCTGACTTAAGACCCTGAACTGAGTTCTAAAGACTTGAACCGGACACAGAATAAGAAAGGGAGAGAAGAAAGGCAGAATGGACACTCACCCAAACACTCTGACATGTAGTTGTTCAACAGGAAAGTTGGCATTTGAAAGATATTAAAGAGTTAGCCAAAAAAATAAAAAATAAAAATAAATAAAAAACCTTTTGTAAAGCAGCAGCTTTGGTGGGACATAAGCGAGCAGTCCACTACTTTTCTACCAGTTAGTTCCTCAGGGAGAACTGACGCCCAGGCAGGCCTAAGGAAGCAGACGCACCCAACAGCACTGCAGGCATTGTGGCTGGAGGGAGCCGCAGGACATCTACAGCTGCCAGCAAACAGCCCACTTACTCCGCTGAGCATTTTGCTGACTTTCAAAGCATGGTCTAAAAACAAGGTTGGGAGATCTGAAACTGGATCGTGCATATTTTGGATGTCTTTCTTGTACTTCACCTAGGAAAATAACATGGAACAAAATACTATCTAGGAGGAAGAAATATGCTTTGGCATTACTGCCAATTATCCAGTTTAACACACCATGAAGTACTAGTTAGTAGTAAACTGAAAGATGAATTTGCAAATAACCACTAGATGGTGCTCATTCACCATTGAATGCATTTTTAAAAGTTATTTCTAGGGACTTGAAAATATTTTGATAATTACTTTTATTGTTTACATATTCAAAAAGAGTGATGTTAGCAGAATTGAGTAATTTAACAGAAATTCTGCTTTCAAAACAAAGGGAAATTACTACACTGTATTTTGATTTGTTTTTGACAACTTGGGAGCTTGTGCTATTGTTCACGCTATTGCCATATAGACCTTTTTTTTACCAACTAATTTGGAAATATAATAATATCAGTAATTAAAATTATAAAACATTAATAATAAAAAATACACTGAGCACTTTAAACACTTTGTTATTTTTAGAAAAGTGCCAAATGCTTTTCTAAATGCTCCATAACATCCCCTAGCAGGTAGGTACAATACTTTATAAGTATCTCCCATTTTACAGATGAGGAAACTGAGACAGAAAAAGATGAAGATATATTAAGAGAGAGAACAAGGTTCAAATCTAGGCAATCTGATTCTAAACCTTGTGTTTTCAACACTGTGCTTTAGGTTACTTTATGGATATTCCAACTGTATTTGCTTTACATTTTTCTCCACACACCAAAAAAAAAAAAAAGAAAGAAAGAAAAGAAGAGAAAGAAACAGAAATCATTCTAATATTCCTAGTGATCCTAAACACTAGAAATACCCATTCCAATTTCTAGTGACAAACAAAAGTTGGCTAGTGAATACAAATATCAATACCTTCTAAAAATTAATAAAAGTAAGATATAAGTCCCAGGATGTGACAAAAGTTGAAATCTTTAAATGATCTAACAAAGCAATACTTCAATAATAATTAATCTTAATACTTCAAAAGGTACACTATACATCCTGCAACAATAGCAAAATGATCCATTTTTCCATGTTTGTTTTTATGCTCTGAATAATTCTAGTATAAATTTAAGGCACCTTTTCTTGTAAATTGAAACTTAGTTATTTTTAAACATATCAAATAAAAACAAATCTTGTGAAGAAGTATCACATCATTTATATAATGGGTAAGAAAGAAATTGTAAGTCATCACAGGTATATCTGAAAATTTCTTTATGATGAACTAGGCAGTACTTTACAATAAGCTTCATTTTGTGGGTATTGTATGAGTTAACTATTGTCAGAACCATGATATATGATATTATACAGTACTCTTCTGCAAAACTGTAACCTACTTGTACTCGTGACTAGATATAATAATTAGCAATATTATTCTTATTTATCAGCTAACTAGTAACCATTAATAATAAATTACAATAATACATTCTCTAAAAAAAAGCTTCAGTGTTTTCAACTAAAACTGCTTGAAAATTACATGATTTTGTTTAATCACAACACAGCCAATTCTGAGGAATCAAGAATCAAAAGATAGTGACAATGACTTTTTATGAATTACAAGTTATGAAACACAAAATAACTTACACTACTTGCCAGTTCAGCGGCAAGCTGACTTTGCTTAAAAGAAACACTTTCAAGGGGATTGTAGTGATGTTTCTTATCCTTCATTTCATTATCAAATTTTTCTTTATATTTAATCTGTCATAAAAGAAAAAACAGGATAAATTTAGTACCACATTTATTTTTAAGCTTTTGAAATAATACATTTGATTTGTAATTAGATCAGATAAAAGCTACCCTAAAAACAAATGATAGAAAAGTTTAAAATTCCTGGTATTTTTTACCCATATAAAGTTTAATTAGGCATAATTTTCTTCATTAAAAAACAACCTCTACTTGAACATTGATCGTAAATGCAATTAAGCATGAACTCAAATCCTATTAACAAGAATTATGCACTAAAATCTCAGGATTTTAAAATGTGACTTTCCTTTTCTGCATTCCTATAATCTATGATTAATTAGAAATTTAGACCATAAATGAATTAGTTTTCCACATTTAGAAAAGAGATTCTAAGCCCCAGAATTTGAATATTAATTTTCCTGAGGGAATTATTCCAAATACAGGACATGCTTTGTACCATGGTTTTTCTCATCATTTCCCATTTGTTCAAAAATTCATATTTAGGGACTACATTTTCTGAAGTGTACTGAGTCTAATTAATGTCATTTTTTGTTCCTCTGCTTTAACTCCACATTTGTATTCCAGAAAAACTATTTCTAATGTTGATTCTAAATTATTTTTCTCCTTTAAAAAGAAGTAATCATAAGGCAAACAAATAAAGGAATATCAAGTTATCCTATAGAACTGTATTTTTCTTCATAGAGAATTATGTGAATATACACTATGATAACTAACTAGAATACAAAATTCTTCACCAAAAACAAACAAATAAACAAAAAACAAAAAAACTAACTTCTCGAACCTCACACCCCCTTTGGGACTTTAGCCAGGAAAAGATACACAGACTTCAAAAGCAAAAGTAGGCTGTTTTGCTCTCTTATATATTTTTACCATATTGTAATTTTTATATTTTGTTTTCTTACAACATTCTCATAATGTACCCTTTATTCATAAATATTAAGATGGTGCCTTAGAGAAGTTTTTATTAAAAAGCAATTTGTGGGTGACTATTTATTTATTTTCCCTCTCTCTTTTGGGGGGTGGGGTGGGAGTGAGAATGGCTATTTAATTGAGTGTGTATTGGGCGATGGTGTCCCTCAGGGACACGTGTCTGGAAACTATGGGAGAGAGCTAGTGAAATTTTTGATGGAAATACATTTGGAAAATATTTCAAGATGGTTTATAGGAAATATTTTCTCTCGTGGTTCCATCTGCTAATAATAACTTTCTGATATTCACATTACCTTATAAATCCAAGCAAAACCTCATTTATTCTAATTATCTGATGAGGACTCTCAAACACAAGAAAAATTCTGATCTAACAAAATCATTTTATGTCTTGAAATCGAGACAGTATTACCAATGGAATAAATTTAAAGCTTGTTCACTGTTTTCCACAGTAGCTGGCACCAAAGCAAAGGTTTTCCCAACCTGGCCCTTCCCCAAACACACAATTCCGCCGCCTCTGCACATTCTATACCCCTGTCTAGGGAAATTTGCAAGATATTTTAATTGGTGCTATTGTCTCTCTCTAGCTTTTTGGTGTCGAAAAGCTGTTCATTGGACAATGGTGGTGGGCTGTCTTAACTGACTTCTGCTTGAATGGAACTCCTGACCTAGCCAGGCTCACCAACACACACCACTTACAGTGTAAAACAGGCTGACTGATGGCTACTGTGCCTTGAACTCTCTCGGCTGGTAGCTATTGAAGTAAACAGCTGACCCTGCTATGTACTATGGGCTTGCATCAGGCTTTCTTTCAGTTATTCATATTCTCCGCCCCAGGCACCATGAGTGCATCAGTCATGTATTAGCTAAACGGCAAACACAGGTTATATAGCCCTCGTGCTCACAGAGCCCAGCGTTCTGTCTTCGGCCCTACCATCCCAACACGGTTACAACTATGAGCAGAGGCAGCACTGAAGCTGGGGGGGGGGGTGCTACTGGGAAATAAACCTGACAAATTCACATCTGTCATCAAATCTGGCACTCGCTCTTCCTGAGTAAAGGTGTATTTCTGAAAAGCAATAATCAATCTAAGTTGCAATGATTCTTTCCTTCCTCTACTCATTAAACATTGAGCCTGTGTTGAGTTCCTACTATGAGGCTGGGAACAGTGATGTGACCCAGACACACTCTGTCAAGACTGGAGTCAGTAATCTCTTTCAAAAGCAAATCTGATTGAATCACACACTTAAAATGGCTTAGAAGTGAGCGCCAGCATTTCTGCCTCTGTTGGGTGTATTGTAAGCTGGCTAAGAGTCAACTGAGTCTGTCCCTAATCCTGTTTACGCTAGTTGTACTTAATTCAATTTAATATTATGAACACTGGCAAATTCACTGTAAAAAGAGTATTATTATTTCTATGAACACAGTCATTTCTCTGAAAGAGTTCATGAAAGCAGTTCCCTACAAAGAAACTGTTGTCAAATTACGAGTAGTCAAGACAACCAGAAAAGTTGGCAGGGGGATATAAATAATCTAGAAGGTTCTAGAACTCAGATAGATTAGCAATATATCTTTAACAAAATGTCTTTCAAAATGTAAATCATAGACAATGCAGTGGGAGTATGATTTGCAAGAAAAACAACACAAAACTCCAAACAGAAGATTCATTTGCCAGGAAAAACACTTGTCACTACACCAAAAAGTTGGTGAATAAATGGACACACATGGTTTCTGTGTTAAAATAAAATATTAAAATAGCTCTGTGATAGATTTTAACAAGAACTTTACATCTGAAGATGTCTACCACTGTTATGCATTAGGCTATATACCTTAAAATTTGAATTTTAAAATGCTGTCTAACCTTTCCAGGTTATTTCTGTAGTGTAAGGTTAATTACTTAAAGAATATCTGTCATTTATATCCTTATAATGAATGTAATAGTGAGTGAAGTATTGTGAAATTTATCTTACTCTAACCTTCAGCACTCTGCGTGATTGATTCAAAGGTGCCTAAGAAAGAAAAATGCAAGAATATCCCTCATTAATTAACCACAAACTAAAATAAGTGCATTACATTAAAAAATACCTTTACCAGACACTGACACCCAACTATTTCTTACATCTTTCTGTAAGGTCTGCACGTAAGTAAACTAAGAAAATACCCAAATGATTAAATGGCTTCTGTCACTCACCTTCTGACTGGTACACTCACAAATGACATATGGGCACCCAACATTCTCTCCTATTTTCAACCCACAATTCACACAGCTGAGTGTCTACCTCTTTGTGCACACTCACATCTCCCAAGGGACCATGGCAATGCTTTCCTTTGATTATAACTGGTGACTCGAACATGGAACAAAGGATCTACAGTTTTAAGATCACTTGAGACAGAAAAAGGTGTTGGGTGACTCTGCTATGGTTTTAAGACACAATGTCACCTTACACCCAAATCAGTTATTTCGGAAACAAATAAAAGTTACACCTATGACTGATTTTATTTAATTGATGAATATCATACCTAATTATCCTGATGTCTACCAATATTTTTAAATAGGAGAGTTTAATTTAATATTTAACTCCTAGGTTTTATTTTTTAAAAAATTAACAGATTTAGCAGGATGTTCAGAGGCCCACACTTGGAGAAACACTGGAACCATTAAACTACAAGGACATAAGTTCAAGCAGTTCCTCACTGCTGCATCTGCACGGGGCAGTGTTTCAACACACCCAAGAAGATTCCTGCTCCCAGGAGTTCAAAGCTTTCACCAGAAGGGGAGCCAGGCTGCATGGCAACACTTACAGCCCAGACTTGCAAGGAGCCAGAAAAGGCAAAAATAAAGCAGACACTGAACAAAACCTTTTCATTATGGCTGTAGAAAAAAAATGTTTGAAAAGAAATGGAAAAATTTTATAACTATACCTTAATTATCAGTGAAAATGAAAAGGAAATAAATAGCACAATGACACATATCTACAGGAATCAATTCCTTCTAATTCTGGATGAAACTGAACTAAATTTTGTCAAGCAAGAGAGTAAAAGTTTTATGTAAAACTAACTATAATCAGTAATATTTTTACGTCTGAATTTTAGGCAAAATGTTATCTCTACTCTCATTTTTATAACTAACTAATATCTTACTGACTTTACACCAAATGTGGATGACCTAGAGAAATCTGTTTTATCGGTCTATACATCTTCACTGAACTCCTCATCTGTGCCATTTTATAATGGTGGATTAAGTGCATATAACCCTGCCCCCACAGAGCCCATTGTGAGGTAAATGAAGTAGATATTTAAAACATACATGTATGTATGCATGAATATTACACTGGGTTAAGAACTATAAAGAAGAATAAGTGAGAGAGTTATGCAATTTAAACTGGCAAATCTAGGATTGACATTTAAGCCAATACTTGGCTGGAAGGTTGGTGGACAGAGTCTTTGTGAGGAAGGGAAAGGGGCACATTCTCTGAATGAATTAATACCCTTACAATTCAAAACAATGCTTATTATTAAATTTTAACACTAATCTAAAATGTAATTTTTAGGTTTAAAACACCTTATTGATAAATCAAGTGAAATTTTAGAACAAATACTATTACAAATACAAAAGTTTATCTTGATATTATAAAATTAAAGAATCCCATTCATCATATAGACAAATTTCAAGAAATAAATTAAGATGGATGATATATGAATATGTTAACAAATCAACCACTCTTAGGAGAATTTTTTAAAGATGATGGCTTCAACAGTCGCTACACTTAACGTTTGAGATACTTGTCAATATACCGATCTCTTTATCTTGGCACATGTAATTTACTTTGTTTTTTTACTGATTTTCTTTTCATTATTTGACCATAATTTTATGTCCCTCCTAAATTTTAAAAAAGGCAACATCACAACTATGTCAGTGAAACTACTGTACAAGTTAACATGGGAAGGGTTTTGTACATATTTCCATCGTCTTTTCTGGGTCCAATCCCACAGAGCTCAATTTGCAGGTATAATGGGAGAATTCTGCCCACTCACATTCTCCTCCTCTCATCAGACAGGTCCATTATTCCACACTGTGAGCACTGCCTCATCATCACCTTCTCTCTGTCAGCAGACCTACAGGTGCCGTCTCGGTATTTTCTTCCTGCATCCTGCTCCCACTCTTCCCGCTTTCCTACATCATTCCTCCCTATGTGTGTCTTCACCTGTGAGTGCTCCTGTATTCATAATCTGTGAAAATGCATTTCTTACCTGAAAGTAGAGGCTACTTCAGAGATGACAGTTAAAATGGTGAGAAGTGGTACTGGGGACTTCTTTTCTGAATTCATCTCTAAAAAGCTCCCCATGATTACATTCCAAAAAAACTTTCTTTTTTAGAGCATATTGTTCCTACTTCGACCTGTAAGTATGGCTTGTAGTCCAAATGAATAAAACGTTGCCCACTTATCATCACACAGCATTGCAACTCCTGCCAAATGCATTTAAGACCTGCATCTCTTTGCTCCGCCCTCTGCCTCTGGTGTCAGACCACTCACCTCTGCCATCCATGCTCCCAAACTTTATTTGGGGCCCTCCTGTGCGCACAGCTTTCTAAGTGCAGCGGAGCTCGAGTCTACCTCCCACACAAACCTCTCTATTCACATGGCCCTCACAGATGTCCTCTCCACACTCACAGAACGAGATGGGTGTAAACGACATTTTGTTTTTACTTTACTTCATTTCCATATCTACAAATAAATAGGAGTATCTTTTCCAATGTTTACTCTCCTCCTGTATTTGCTCTTTTGTGAACTGCCTATTCATCTCCTTTGCTCATTTTTCTACCAGGCTGTTGAGTCCAGTCCTTTTCTTTTTAATATGAAAGAACTTTCATATATTCATTCTAGATATTAAAATATTGCCATCATATGTATTACATATATTTTTCCAAATTTTGAAGACCACTGCTCTTCTTCTTATATTTAAAAAGCTATTCTCAGACACTTTCTTCTCAATATGCATTCTATCGTGTTATGCTCTTCAGTTATATTTTATAGTTTTACTCATTTACATCTCTTCATTGTGAAATGTAATCAGGACTTTTGTGACTTGAAAAATGAATATATTTGAATTTGAAAACACTTTAAGAGTATGACTGTACCATTATTGTTGACTTTGCAAATGTTTTTCTTTTTGCATCAAAAAAGTTTTAAATTTTTACATAGTCAAGTACATCTAGCCATTCTTTTCTAGCTTCTGCATCTCTGGTCTTATTTAAAAACAACTCTGTTATCCCTATTTGATAAATATAGTCTCTGGGATTTTCTTTTTTAAGATTTTAAAGTTATTTTATTGTTTACATTCACATAGCTAATCCATCTGGAATTCATTTTTTATATGGCTTAAGATTCAGGTCCAATTTTATTTTGACCCTGATGGATGGCCAGTGATGTCAGCACCATTTATTAACTAAGCCAACTTTGTCCCACTGACTTGAACCAACCTTTTATCATGTACTAAGTTTTTATACATATTGGAATTTATTTTGGGATTCCTTTTTCATCCTACTAATTATTTTATCTCTTACTATACCAATTCCATACTGGTTTAATTTCAGAGGTTTTATATTATGTTATGGTAACTCATAAATTAAGATCTCCTTCACTGGTCCTCATTTTCATACTCTGCAAGGCTATTCTCAGGCATTTCCTTTCCCTTCAAACTCTAAGATAATTTTATCCATGTTAAAAAAAACTTTGTTGGAATCTATTCAAAATTATATAACATTTATATATTAATTTGGGGGCAATTAAACTTTTTATCTATTGAGACTTTCAACCAAAAACATGCCATGTCTTTATACTTTTTCAGATCTTGTTTTATGTTCTTCAATAAGACTTCAAAGTTTTCATTTTTCATCACTCTTCTTTAGTTAATGATTAAACTAGAGCATTTAATAATTAAGACATTAATATTTTTATTACTAGTTAATATGTGCACATTTAATTTAGACAGATTAAAATCGAATTATTTGGTATAACTACTTCTAAATTCTAGAAACCCTGACAAATGTGACAATATGGCTAAACTCATCAAAAAAGGTTAGGATTTGAGCTGAGAGAAAACTTTGTTTTATGCTTAAATTGGACTTATTTTTTTTCCTTACCGGAATTTATAATTATTGCAATCCTATCTAAAATGGTTTCAGAAACATTATCTTTGCATATTCTTGCAATTCAAGATATTATCTAAAATGAAATGTTTTCCTGTGCTGCTAGAAACAAAATCTCTCAATAAAATCATTGTGGAATCATCACCAGAGTCTTACTTGACTAGAAAGTTTAGAAGCTTCAACAGCATGTTCAAAATCTGGTCTTCCAATTACAGCCGGCTCTTTATTCATTGCTCCTTGCCCTTTCTTGTATTCTGCCTAAAATGAATAAATGAGAGAATGTTAACTATTTCTACTTTCCAGTGAAGGATTATATTGACATTAACCAAAATAAAATATAAAAGGCCCTCAGTCTATGAAACATATTCCCTTCAACTCACCAAATACTAAAATGCTGACTGCTAAAGCAGGAATTCATTTTTATAATATGACTAGTTAAAAAAATTCAACATTTTTGCAGTAAAATAATCACTAATTTTGAGTTGTGAATCCAATCATCATCATCATCATCACTGTGTTTACGTGTAAACACTGAAAAAATATATGGATAGTTGAGACTCTGTCTCCTGCATAAAGATCGCTTTCAGGGCTTTGTTTAATCTCAGGAATTGATCTGACCTTATTTGATTAACATACAGTTGAAGTTAGAAAATAATTATTGATTATGAATTTTTGAGGTATGAATATGCTATGTTACTTAGACATTAAGTTCAAGTTGAGGCATCATTTTAAACAAGGTATGAGGTACATGAAAAAATTATATTAATCAAGGAGGATGTCTTAGAGAAGGTAAGAAACAACTGGGATGTATAGGAAACCTACAAGAGTAAATGTTGGCAGAGCAGAACCTGCAGAATTAACGACAATGAGATAAGAACAAAGCAAAGTGAAGTTCCTCTGGGCAGGGTGAGAGGTAAGAGATAAGTAATATGGGGTCAGATGACTGACAATCTTGGCTTTCAAGCTGGATATTTGAATGTTATCTTATACTCAAATAGTATTTACTGAACTAAAAGTCTGGTAACACTAGCCATAGTCGAGTTGACTCTGGGCAGCTTCTGAATATACCTAAATAATTTGCAGAGTCATAGACAGAAAACTGTACTTGAAAAATAATTAAATTAAAAAAATTGAAAAAAAATTTACCGAGTTAAATGGATATGTCTGATATTTAAAAATTAATATAATTCAGATTTAAAAATTGAGATGATTGACTTCACTCATTAAAATAACCATCTAACTACCAAAACCATGCTTTGTTCCTGCAAAAATAAGTCATTTCTGCTCAAGATAAGAAAGAACAATTATTACATTGCTTATGATCTTGGAGAGCTGTGTGGCCATCTTGATGTCTGGTCTGTTGAGCTCTGCATTATACATGTGGGTGTCCTGCATATCTTTTCTATAAGAAATCTGATCAAAGAAATAGTTTTGATTAAAACAAAGAAATTAGTAATTTTATACAGTCACTAGCTTTACGTCTATAACATTATTTATCCTTGTCACAATCACCTTAGAGAGCCAACTGACCACAAGTTGTTGCATAATACATTTATTTGGACAGATATAGTCTTTTTTTCACTGTACCTATGCCTCACTAACATTACGTATGAACTGAATTTATACAACATAAGAAATACGAGCCCAAGCCCTCAGCACAAAACCAATCTTATAGAATTTTATGTACACTACCCTCCTAAGCATGTCATTGTGTGGCAGTGTGTATGCACATATTCACATAAATAATAACCTCATCAAGGGCTTTCACTTGTTCCTCACAAACTCCCTCCCGCAGTGGCTAGAGGATCAGCCCCAGCACAAGAATACAGAAAAGCCCTTCCAGGGGTGAGGGTGTGTGAGGAGGCTCTGTGACCCTCCAGCTCTCGCCCTCCCAACCACGCCCTTCTCTCCCTTTCCTGACTGGACCCTCCAAACGCCCACATCTGGAAATCCTCCTCGTGAGTACTGATACTTTTATAATCTAGCAAATATTACTGCAATGACTTTATTTCTCCCCAAATAGAAGCAACTATATTAAGGAATAATCATCCTCCAAATGTACATTTGATACTATCAAACCAAAATGGAAAATAAAGATAAAAAAAATACATATAAATTTTGCCAATAACCTTCCACGTGATCTTCACTTCTGTCGTTCTGTTCCTGTTCTAGTGGTTTGCTTAGTTTGTTTTTGTTTTAGATGCAGTTGTTAATAACTGTGATTTTGTTATCTGTTTACTGTTCATACTTTTTATCTTCTTTTTCTTAGATAAATCCCTTTAACATTTCATGTAATAAGGGCTTGGTGATGATGAACTCCTTTAACTTGACCTTATCTGAGAAGCTCTTTATCTGCCCTTCCATTCTAAATGAAAGCTTTGCTGGATAGAGCAATCTTGGATGTAGGTCCTTGCCTTTCATGACTTGGAATACTTCTTTCCAGCCCCTTCTTGCCTATAAGGTCCCTTTTGGGAAATCAGCTGACAGTCTGATGGGAACTCCTTTGTAGGTGATTGTCCCCTTATCTCTTGATGCTTCTAGAATTCTCTCCTTCATTTTAATCTTGGCTAATATAATTATTATGTGCCTTGGTGTGTTCCTCCTTGGATCCAACTTCTTTCAGACTCTCTGAGCTTCCTGGACTTCCTGGAAGTCTATTTCATTTGCCAGATTGGGGGTATTCTCTATTATTTGTTCAAATAAGTTTTCCACTTGTTGCTCTTCCTCTTCCCCTTCTGGTACCCTATAGTTTGGATGTTGCAATGTATAAAGATGTCCTGGAGGTTCCTAAGCCTCTCCTCATTTTTTTGAATTCTTGCTTATTCTTTTCTGTTTGGTTGTTTCTTTCTTCTTTCTGGTCCACTCCACTGATTTGAGTCCCAGTTTTCTTCCCATCACTACTGGCTCCCTGTGCATTTTCCTTCATTTCATTTAGTGTAGCCTTCACTTTTTCATCTAATTTGTGACCAAAATCAACCAATTCTGTGAGCATCCTGATCACCAGTGATTTGAACTGTGCATCTGATAGGTTGGCTATCTCTTAGTTTCTTAGAAGTATTGACTCTAGGGCTTTGATTTGTTCTTCTGTTTGGGCCAAAATTTTTTGGTCTGGTTGCACCTGTTATGTATGAGGGGCAGAGCTTTAGGTGTTCACCAGGGTGGAGCAACACATCTTGCTGGGTTGTGACACTGTCTGTGGGGGCGGATTCAGGGAGGAAACAACAGCGCTTGCTCTGCTTTCTTTTGGATTTCAGTCCCTTCTGTCGCTTCCCACAAGCAAACTGAGCCCTTCTGGTGCTGATACCCGGGCAGGTGGGCTTGTGTACATTCTAGGACCCTGTGGGTCTCTCCAACAAAGTCTCCTGTGACACTGGGTGTCTCTCCCGGCACCTCAACCCCCACAACTGTTTTCAACCAGTACTTTTAGGCTTTATTTCCTGTCACTGGGGCCCTGGTTTGCACAATCAGTCTCACTACCCATTTTTGCCTGGTTTATCTGCACTCAAATGTGTGACCACATTCAGCCAGCCGCCTTGCGCACCTCACTGGGTCTGCTTGTTGCCACCCTGCGCCTGGGGTCTGCCAACTGCTGCCTGCACACCCCGGTCCACCAGCCACTGCTTTTTCCTGCCACGACCCCTCTCCACCAGCTGCACACTGCCCCTTTTACCGGTCTGGATGAATGAGTGTCAGACTTCCACACAGTTCAATTTTCTGTCAGTTCTGGGTGCTTTTTGTTCCTAAATTTTTGTTGTCCTTAATTTTGGTTGTGCAAGGAGGCACAGTGTGTCTACCTATGCCTCCATCTGGCCAAAAGTCTACAATCTACATTTTAATGAATTCCCCAGTTGACCACCAAGAATGACTATTCTAGACAATTTAATGTATCTTATTTTCTTTTCAATATTGCATAGTGAAAAAAATTGGTATATTCTTACTTCTTTCAAAAATAATATCAAGTGTAAGAAATGATAATGCATTAAGAATTTAAAAGGCTTCCTATATATTACATTATTATATTTCAGTGAAATATTTATAAACATTTCTATTTAGTTTTTTAAAGAGCTTGTGTGTTTCTCACCATCGAGACTATTTTTCAACTGAGGTTAAAACCATGACCTTATCTGACAAGTGAACAACTATATACAATTAGCATAATTTCAGCAAGAATCTTCCTTCAGCTTCCTGTTTTCACAGGCTTTCCTTTGCCAAGTAATTTCAGGTAAGTTTTATGCATACAGGTACCTAAAGAAACATATTAAAATAAGCTGAGAACTGAGTTATTTTGTTGGGTAAGATTTTAAATCTTTAGGAATATAAAATAATCCATTTTTATTGCTTTCAAAAAGCAACATGCTCACCCACAAAATATGGCCCATCAGCCTCAGCCTGCACTGAGTTAAACACAAGCTGTATAAACAAAAACTGACTCTCAGGTGAAAACAAACCAAAATTATTACCCGCCTACAAGAATAGCTGTTTCTGTGTTACTACATTCATATGAAATCCATGGGGGGGAGTTGTCTTTTTGTTTGGAATAGAATGAGGGTAAAATGGAAACCCTTACTTTCTCAAAAGAGCTGCAACCTTTCAGAAATTAAGCTGTACATGGGCTACCTAATTATATGCTGTTCAGCCTAATGACAGAGTGAAGAGAGGTGAATAGCACAAAGGCAGCAGAAGCAGGACTCTGAATAGGGCCCCATCATCCATGTAAATTGCAAATTAGAGGCCAGCACAGGTAACTCAAAACAAATATTACGACTGATATGAGCTGTGAATTCAAACAGACACCACAGAGCCACTCCCTAGGAGAGACACACAGGAGCCCTGTCACTGGTCAGCTCTTCCAGAATATCGCTGCATGGGGACAGACAGTCCCCAAGAACAGGGCTTACACTGAGGAACACTCAAGAGCAGCAAGCTCCTGATTTTCAGTCCCTGCAAGGATCTCTAAACATAGGTGGATGACAACATGGGTCATTTTCCTAAGCTATTCCTTTGTAGTGAACATCTATTAATTTTTTAAATATATTTTAATTATGCCATTACAGTTGTTCTATTCCCCCCTTCATTCCCCTCCACCCTGCACACCCCCTCCCCCACCATTCCCCCCTTTTAGTTTATGACCGCGTGTCTCAAGTTCTTTAGATTCTATATTTCCCCTACTATTCTTGTCCTCCCCCCTATCTATTTTCTACCTACCGTCTATGCTACTTATTTTCTGTACCTTCTCCCCCCTTCTCCTTCTCCCACTCCCATGCTGCTAACCCTCCATGTGATCTTCATTTCTATGGTTCACTCCTGATCTAGCTGTCCTCTTAGTTTGCTTTTGTTTTAGGTGTGGTTGTTAATAACTGTGAGTTTGCTGTCCTTTCACTGTTCATCTTTTTTATCTTCTTTTTCTTTAACATTTTCTTTAACATTAAAGTAAGTCCCTTTAACATTTCATATAATAAGGGCTTGGTGATGATGAACTCCTTGAATTTGATCTTATCTGAGAAGCACTTTATCTGTCCTTCCATTCTAAATGAAAGCTTTGCTGGATAGAGCAATCTTGGATGTAGGTCTTTGGATTTCATGACTTGGAATACTTCTTTCCAGCCCCTTCTTGCCTGTAAGGTCTTTTTTGAGAAATCAGCTGACAGTCTGATGGGAACTCCTTTGTAGGTGACTGTCCCCTTATCTCTTGCTGCTTCTAGGATTCTCTCCTTCATTTTAATCTTGGCTAATGTAATGATGATGTGCCTTGGTGTGTTATTAATTTTTTTTAATCATTTGGAAACTGCCCCTCCGCCACTCCATGTGATTTGGTGAGGCTATAATTGCAGTCTACTTTTCTGGTCACAGGAGTGATTGGCTATCTAAAGAGATACCCCATCCTTTTGGAAACCAAGATTAATAAGAAAGCAGATAAAACCTGAGCTTAACCAGAGACATTTGAAAGAGCTGAGGCTGGGAGAGAAAGATCCACTGTCCTTTCCTCCTGGATCAGCTCCTGTAAAGATGACTTAATTTTGAAAACACCAGCTGTCATCTTGAGAGCACCTAAAGAGTGTCTGGAAACAAAGTCAGAACAGCTAGCAGAGCCAAGAGATGGGGAGAGGGGGAGAGTCCTGGTGACACTGTCAAGCTGCTGGATCCAGCTATGCTTGAAGGTAGAATGAATTTTCCAGTTATGCAAACCAATAAACTCTCATTTTTATATGAGCTAACTTGAGATGGATTTCTCTCACTATATCTAGAAACTGCTGATTAACACAGCCTCTACTTCTTCATCTGTTTTACTTCTGTGTCAAATCTGCTCTTTATTGCCTCCAATTAAGATTTTAATTCTATCAAAATCTATCATGGAATTTCTTCCTTATCTCACCATGTTCACTTCCCCCTTAGCTTCCTTTTTCATCTCATTTTGTCTTTGAATCTCAGTTTGTTCTCTCCTTGTAAGCCTTCCACTTCTGTTTCATAAGGCTGCAGCTTTTACATGTTTCCTATGTTCATGCAGAGTGTTCAATGTGTCAGACATGTTCTAAATCTTTTATTCACATTGATTCATTAAATCCTCATGCCAGCCCTGTTGTGCAGAATTTTCTGCACTCACCTGGGCTCTAACCACACAGTCTCCCAATAGAATTAGTTATCCAGCATCTTCTTCATTGTATTGTTCTGAGTTAGATCTGGCCAACAAGAGACTCACTAGATTTTGAAAACAGAAGTGAAATGGATGCATTTATTCTCCATGTCAAGCCAGACACATGGGCAGACAGAGAATTCCTAGGGACTTGGCAGCAAACTTCTCATGTTTAGACGGCAGTGATTTGAGATTCCTCAATAGGTGAGTTAATAAACTAGAGGAAAGCAAAGCCTCCACCAAGACGGTCCTTATAGTGAAGGTCAAGCATTTGGAGATGTGAAGATTGTGAGCTAAGGGATGGCAGTCAAGATGGAAGCCACAGACAGACACCTGCTGGGGCTGAGGGCAGTGTGAACAGACAGGCTTAAAGAAACCAAATCCAAATGGCCCAGAGCCATTCACTCCCTTTGCTGCTCTGAGGAAGGTTAACATGATTCTTAGTGAGAAGAAACCAGAAAGGATATGTATCTTTGTGGAACAGAGGTGAGCAGTACAACCTATATGTAATTATAAACTTACACCACCAGTTGTGATTCTCAGGAGATATTTTTATCATCATAAACTCTCACGTTAGCAAAGCTCTCCAGGTACCATCAAAGGGGCACACACACTGGAAATTCTACCTTAGGTTTATTTCTGTCTGGGGATACTGTATTTAAAGAAACACCAAATTGTCAAATTGTAAATATAATTTTATAAAGGAATAGAAACATTTTAAGTATAAGTAAATGGAGGATCTTATATTCACCAGAAAAAAAGTTTTCAATCTTCTAAAAGATGAAGTAAAATACGGAGCTGTATCTAGAAGTTTGTAATTACTATCCTTGTTGCAGTTTATAAGAGCATTTTAGAGTTGATAAAAGTTTTCTTATTCACGGTTTAATTCTATCATCACCACAATCTTGTGAAGGCAGAGGAGATATTACTAACTACTCTGCCTTAAAGATGAACAAAATACTAATATATCTATTTTAATACTAAATCCTGCAGCACTATTATTATAAGTCACATCAAGGGACCACATAAATGTTTTTCCAATATCATTTTACTGATTTATCTTTAAGCTTTTTCACTTTCTGATGAAACAGAAATTTTGCCTACTGATAAGTTTTTATTAACATTAAGAAAGTACATCTATCATTTGTGAAAAGAACATTAAGTTTCTTGTTTCCCCTGATGAATACTTCTTTCTAATGCACATTGAACTGATTACCAATGTGGTGCTTTGGAAAAGTTTACCACTCCAATTTCATGATAAGACTATACAGACCACATTACTTATGAAACTTAAAATGGCAGCTTAAAATTTGTTTGACTGGCTTCAGAACTATTGGAGTTCAAGCTCTAGTAAGATTGATGAGAACTAATAATGTTACTGGGGTTTTCATTACAAGCGCATCTTTAGGGAAAAGCAGCAGGACAGAAACCTCCAGTTTCTCTAATTACATTAGAAAAATTTGGCAGGGGTACATCCCTTAAGATACAAAAGGATTTAGATTGGCTCTTTTTTAATCATGTTTTGAATATAGTATCAGCAAAATAGGTAAGTTATATGGGTTCAGGAACCTTTTGAATGTGCCCTTCTGACCTAAATGCTTAATATAAATTTCCTTTTAATTTGGACTTTTAATGAAATTTTGCCTCTTTAGATTGTTTTGAGTTAACTATGATATCACTATAAATTCTTAAATCACCCTTTTAAACTGGAAGGGGACCAAACAGGACTAACATTTTATGGAGCACAGCCCTTCACATACTTCCTCTCATTCAACACTTGCTGCCCTAATGAGGCAGAAATCATGGCCCCAATTTTAAGATAAGAAAATTGAGATTTGGAGATATTAGTAACTTGACCAAAGTCATGCAGGCAAGTGGCAGAGCAAGCATTTTAACCCTGGCCTGACTCCAAATTCCTTTCCTAGTTTATGCTGCAGGGAAGACAGTCTGAGAAATATTTTTCCCTGTTTCATGGTCATTGAGTTTGGGGGTGATGAGAGAGACTAACTGCCCCCCAATACTCTCTCCACGGGACCGCTCAGTTATTCCAAGGTGAAAATTCAGTCACCAAGACCCCTCTGCCCCCTGCTCCTGCTTAGTCACGTCTCTAAAATGTCTAAAGGAACCTGGGAAAGACGGGCTCTGAAACAAAAACGTATTCCTTTCGATGGTTAATGTTTTTGTAAAAGGCTGAAGTGGAAGAAAGGCAGAAATTAAAAGCTTTGAACTCTCGCCATCCCCATTTCTTGGGTCCCTGACAGATGTTCCAAAGCTGACTTGATTTGCGTGGAAACACAAAGAAGATAAGCAAAGGTGTGGACGTGCGTTGTTTCTGGGTAAATCAGATGCACATGTGACAACACCTTTGATTTTAAATTAAATCAAATCATTTATAGGCTTTGAGCAAAGTGACATTGCACGTTATGAAAGGGCAATGCTGTTAGAAACTCTCTGCCAGTGAGTTTCCTGGGGCTGAAGGAGGCAGGGTTTTGCCTGTCAGAGCGATGCTGTAGCCTCACCAACCAAACCACAAGAGCGATACATGCTTACTCTCCTCGTGGCTGTCAAGACTAACGTTTAAATTTCATATTGTAGGGACAACAAATGTATTATTCTAAGTGCCTGGATGTCAGAGGAATATCAACTACTTCACAGATAGAATACAAATATCCTCCTCACTTTAAATCTGAGTAAATAATCTTAAACACTTTCTAAATCCTATTATATGGACAAACTTTGCATGTAAAGGTTGAGCTGGTTAGGCAGAGCAGTGTAAGTAAATACACCCTTCTCCCATAAGTACACAGTATTGAATGGAGAAAAGGGCTTTCTGCTCTATTCCCTCAATCCCTCAATCAAAGACCTTTTAAAAGAAAAGGCAGACTTAAAATAATAACCCCGGTTCTATGATAAGGGACTTCTGTATTTGAACTTCATTGAATGATAGAGTTAGAAAGCCTCCTGGGGATGCACATCACGCCACCCCCCCCCCACCACCACCTTCATTCCTACAGTGCACGAGAGCTGCTGATCTGAATTCTGATGATAACCTATTTTGCACCCATTTTCAAAGTCTCATTTAAAATCTTGACCAATAACCAGTGACCTTTACGAGGGAGGCAGCAGGGCCAAACAAAGAGCAGACTCAGGGCTTTGATTCTTTAGACTCATTTTCCTTGTCTACAAAAGGGGAATCGGTGCAGGGATTTTGTGAGAATTGGAAATGATCAAAGTTGTGCCACAGTTGTGATGCACAGCCGTGCTGAGGGAGTTATTATGATTATCATGGTCATTCTATAAGCAAACGGTTCTTGTAAAGAATCCCCTCACCATGACCTTGCTGGTAATAACAGACATGCAGTTTCTTCATCTCTTATCAATCTCAAGCCATTTTAGGAAAGTGCTTTGGTATTGGCATATGTTTATATATTTGGATTAAAATGGTAAACCTCACTCAGTTTTCACTTAAGGATGGACCTAATATGATTTAATATCAGATAATTGTTGCCATTCTGCAGAGGCACTGCACAGCTGGGGCTCCGAGGGCACAGAATCCACAGAGCACCATCAGTTAGAGAACTAAGTGGTAGGACAGCAGACCCCGTGTGAGAGGACAAAGATGGCTGAGATACTCTTCAAAGAAAGGGAGTTTCCTGACCCACCTGGGACAGACACTTTACCCTAACTGATTCCAATCCATAAAGAACCTGGTAAACAGCGCCTAGATTGCTTCCAGAGAACAGAGAATTCATGGTGGGGAGATGAAGAAGCCTTCCCTGAGATTTCAGGAAGAAGTATTTCTTGTAGCCCACCAAAGAAGAAATTCATTTTCTACATGCTGACATCCTCTCACTTGGCCTCTGCTTCTAAGGCATCTATTGCTTTCCCATTTGCCATGGGTCTTAAGTTCGATACTTTGTTCCCAATAAGCATTCCAGAAGAAACAGTAGTGGGGTACACTCTCACTAGCGTCTGTGAATGATTCTTCCCTGGGCCACTGATTTGCAACGCTCTTTCTCCCTGCTCTCCTGCAATCCTAGATGAGACACCATGGGAGCTTCGCCATCAAGTCAAGGAATTTCTAAGAAATGCTAATAAGCCAATAGGGCCAAAGGATCCATATGTGGCTTGTTCAAAGCAGATTTTCCAATGCCTACAAGTGCCTGACATTTTAATAGCATTCCAAAAGGTTTAATAACTGTTGACAAAATAATCCCAATGTCTTTCTGACTGAACATGGACAGATAAAAATAAAATAAAACTTAAAGCCATTTTTGAATAGCGTGTCATAATGTTGAAATTTCAACAAAATATCCATTAGCCTTGATGTTGGTTAACCGCAATTTTCCAGAAAGTCATGAGGAATGGCTCCCTTACATTACTCTGGTGTTTATTGACCTCAATGGCACGTTTGATCTCAGGTGGCTCCCTCATATGGGCGTAATCTGAGAATCCTTTGGTAGCATCATGTTTCTGCTTGTAGGCAATCTTTAAAAAAAAACACAGAGAATAAACCATTACTCTCCTTTAGAGATGTATTAAATTCTTACCTGTTAAATTTCAGTGTTTGCTAGGATTTTATATTTTTCAGTGCCTCAACTGATGATCAAATTAGCCTGAGCCTCTATAACAAGACAATATGCACAACACTTTCATTTTAGTGCTTCAGTTAGATTCCTAATTCTAAATCTTTGTCTTATTTCAACAGTCCTTGCCCATAGGCTGAAATCCCAATGCTCAGAGTCGTCGAGTTTAAATCTCAGCTGCAGTTCTGAGAAACCTCCCACACCCAAGAGCTCTTACGGTTATAAATGTCCAAGGTTTAAATCTTGGGCAAGCAAGTGAAAAAGTAGGGGAAATGATCAAATATTTAAATTTGATCATTTTAAATTGTTCATTTTTAAATTAATTGTTATGATTGTATACAGGTACAGCTATAATATTTAAATGCCTTAAACTTTGGGAGAAAAGATAGCTTGGGCAAAAACCTCAGATATGTCAAGCTCCATCCTCTGTTAGAGCAAGAGTGATCACACCAACACCATCCATTCCCACCAAGTTAAGTCTGTCCTGCACTCGGATGGAGAGAAGGCCAAAGGATGACTGCTCAGGAAGTGGGTGCAGCCAAACTCTACCGGAGAGTTCCAAATGAAAGGAGATCCAGAAGACAGCAAACAAATTAACCCCGTGCTCTCAGTCCATGCCATTACCCTATTTACTCTCTTCACAATTTTTAATTACTTTCTTTGTCCAATTATTTCTTTCTGTCCGCCCTTACTAGAACTGAACTGTCTGGCTCACTGAGGGCACAGAGCCCCAAATAGTGCCTGGCACCAGGTGAGCAGTAATAAATCTTTGCTCAGGTGAATAAATATATAAATGAATAACTGAATGAATGAGAATAAAACACAGATAAATTATTTCAAAATTAATTTTCAATAGATGTCAAAGGTGTAATAATAAAATGATAGTAAATGGAGTTACAATTACTTGGCCCAAGAGAATAAAGTCACCTTAAAAAAGAAAGATTGGAACAGTGTTTACCAAGAACAAAACAAGATCTAATTTTCAATGGAAAAGACTACAGTTAAACTTAGGGAAAAACTTTTTACCAATATGATCTCCTAGAGAGCTCTAACTGTATTGTACATATCTTTCAATGTCCTGTGCCTAACGCAGTGAATGGTAAAGAGCGGAAATGCAATAAATGTTTAGTGAATGGGTAAATAAATTAGTTTATTAAACATTCTCATGAACTTAAATCCCTTATAGGCTTTAATAAACAGAATTAACCACCCATTTGACTTAGATAATATACTGAATGCTTATCTAAATGATTAAAGTAATTATAAAACAAATTTTTTTAAATTAAAAAACAAAATCATCAAATATAAATAACTGCAAAAACAAAAAGCCATCAAATACAACCATCTGTGTTTAACCCTTGTCTGCTTTCTCTATTGAGTTTTTCTTGAAAACCAAAAAAGGAGAACTCAATCCGGGGTATCGCAGTCTCTAAATTTTGAAAGCCGTGATAGAAAGCTCCTCCTTCGGTGAAACCTAAAGCTATCTGCCCATAGCTACATACGCCTGGCCATGCAAGCCGAGCCTAGTTCACAGGGCAGCACTTTAGCACAGGAATGCAGCCGTCAGGGACTGCCCTTCTTGCCAACTGTCTGTGTGGGCTGAAGCTCTGGACCACTATACTCCCTGGGTGCGCCCCTCAGCACAAATTCCAGCTTATCCATCTCTTTCTTAAGGTGCCCACAATGTTCCAGATATGGTCTGACCTATCCTAATTAGAAGTATTCGGTTTAATTCATACTACCATTTCTCCTGTGTTATATGTGACGAATGCATCCATAATGCAAGAGGATCACACTCTTTCCTGTTGATGGCTATGTTGAGATTTCTGTCAACTAACACCCTTACGGTCTCATTCAGTCCCACCCAGCCCTGATCCCACATCCAATCCTGCATCTATGGTCAATTATTAGGGCTCACATGTGGTACCTCACATTAGCCCAGGGATAATTCATCTTGTTAGAGTCTGTCCAGTGATTTAATCCACCAGGATATCTAATTCTGATGAACATATATTTGCATTTTTCACCAATTAATTATGTTAAACAGGAAACCCATTAAGAGCCTCCTTTCAGGCTCAGAAAGTCCATTATCTCAGTTCCACTACATCCTATATATTATATCTTCGGGGGGAGGGAGGAGGAGTTTAATGGGTGGCCGAGTCTGTTAACCCAAGGAAAAAAACTTCTTTGAGATATGTTCCATCTACTTCAATAAAAAGAGAGCTAGGCTGTACCTTTCTCCTTTTTCACTGGATGCTTGGTTTATTTTTAATCTTAAACTGACTATCACACTTGTGACTTTATAAACCTAACCAGTGCAGCTGTTCATCTGGTGGGTTATCACAGAAATGGTGAGTCATCAAACACAATTTTTAAAAGCATTCTTTGTTAAAAAGACTATTTAATTTTCTACTTGCAATATTAAAATCGTTTCATTTATAGCTGCTACGAAGCAGCACTTCAGAATTAAGATTACATCAAATTGGAGGCAGCTGAACTTTATCATATTAATTTTCATCCTTAAAAATAGCTAGTAGAAGCCCTGGCTAGTTTAGCCCAGTGGATTGAGCACAGGCTGTGAACCAAAGGGTTGTTAGTTTGGTTCCCAGTCAGGGCACATTCCTAGGTTGCAGGCCAGGTCCCCAGTGCAGGGCACATGAGAGGCAACCACACACTGACATTTCTCTCCCTCCCTTCTCCTCTCTCTAAAAAATAAATAAATAAAATCTTTAAAAAAAATAGCTAATGGAAGTTATGTTAAACTAATGCATTTCCTGATACATTTGATTTCCTAGGATTTGTTTCTTGTGTGTACTTTCTCTAGATTAATACTTGTTTTCTTCACACCCTGAGAATTCAGTTTGCTGTGGTACCAGACACCTAACTAGTAGAGGGTGCTCGCGATAGTCTTATGTACTTTATGTACAAATACACTTATATAAGTAACATACAGTTATACTACATATTTGATTGCATAGTATATCTTTATACTTCATCTATACATATATAAGATGTACAAATATTTCTAACTTACACTACATTTTATAAATACTACATAGGTAAATGTACTTCTAGTTGATAACACAGATGCCTCTGGTGCTCCTTGTGGCCACTCCAGGTAAAAACACAGGCTCTCCTAAACCTGCTCAGTGCAGATGCCTGAGTAGCCTGCATGACTTCTGCAGTTAGGGGTTATTGAGGCCCTGTCAGAAACAGCTCCGGGGGACAAGGACTTCACTACTACCTACCGCAATCCATTTGTCTCCACTAGCTTTCTTTGTGATCTACGTTTATAAAGCTTTTAATGAGGAATATCTAATAAAATGACTTCCTAAAATCACCTCTCTCTCTCCCTTTCTCTCTCTCTCAGCATTAGTCATTTTCTTCATGCAATATTAACCTAGCCAACTTCACCTTATCACTATAGTCTGAATGTAAGCATCTGAGAATGTTTGCAAAATGGTTTTAAGATAATAACTTGTGCCAGTGTTCAGGAGATATTTCATTAGAGCCAGAATGCCATTAAATTTCAGATTTGGCTCATACCCTAATTTAGGTTAGCACACATCTGTTACTATTTGGACACAGTAAAAGGTAAGTTTAAGTATCACAGACATTGTCAAATAGGTTTATAACCTTGATTATATTATTACCAGGTAAGCTTTTAGGATTTCAATTTTAACAATAATAAAATGGATGTGCATCAGTCAGCCTAAAGAAACATTATAACGATTACCCAAATTTTGAAACAGATACCTTATGCAAGGTCCAGGGTTTTCCTTACCGATGAGTTCAGTGACTACTCACAACACTGGGCAGCACTGCTTCTTAAAAGCACAGACAGGGCTTTCCCAGGGCACACACTCTACTACCGGGCATCACAGACTAACAATGCAAGTGGTGGCCTATCCTGGCACAGAAATAAAAAACAGATTCCAAATATGCGACATGGATCGTTTTCCATGTCAAGGCTCCTGCTGCACATGTTCGTGCACTACAGATCCATTTATGCAGGAAAAGGAGACAAAAGGTGTGCATTTCCAAAGCAATAACAATGTCCCTAGCTGAAAAAAATGCTATCTTTCCAAGTAAATGTAAAATTTAAAGTAGATTTTTCTTTCCTGCTTTATTGCTTAACTATTGCATGTCACGTGTCAAGTGCTGTGTTATTATTTGCTTTATAAAGTAGTCCATATTATCAGCAAGTGGCTAGGTGACTGATGTGGGCAGCAAAAAAAAGAAAAAGGAGGGGGACATATTAGTCATGGTCAGCCATGCGAAACTTTAACATCATATATTTTTAGCCTCAAGTTGCACAGCTGAGATTAGCCGACTGCCAAGTTGGGTACACAGTGGACATTTAAATGTGTAATAATGAAGGACCTAAAGAGTTCTGCCAAAGATAACTATGCTCAGTATTTTTCGAGAGTAATGTGTTTTCAGACTATTTTAAAATTATCTAGGTATCTTCTACTTAAAAGTAAAAAGATTCTGGAGAAAAACATTAACTTGTTTAATCAGAAAAAAAAAGGATAGAAATAGTAAAAAAAAAAAAAAAAAAAAACACCAAACAGGCAGTAGAATGCGTGGTTAAGAAACCAGACTCCAGAACCAGACAGTCCATGTCCATGAGCTGGCTCAGCCACTGATTGGCTGTGTGACCTAGGGCAACTGACTTAACCTCTCTGTGCTTCAGTTTCCACATCTCCAAAATGGGGCTCTCTCACACAGTGCTTCTGAGGATTAAATGATATAAATATCTGTGAAATGTATAGAACGGCACCAATATATAATAAATACATCTATGTGTTTACTATTATTTTTAACCTAAAATGTAGCAAGAAGAATATAAATTATGTAAAAACATCTCCTTGGAAAGAAACCCAACAAATTGAATTCATTTTGCAAGCATCTACAGAACATTTCTTGTTTACCAGGAAATGTGCTAGGCACAGAATGAGAGCAGGGAAGGAGACAGATGAGGTTCTGCTCTCATGCCGCTTAGGGAACCAAGTAACAGATTGATTTTTAAAAAAATCAGATTGTGCTATGAAGAAAACAAAACAATAAGTGAGAATGAGGGGAAATATTCTACATATTTTTTAAAGATTTATTCATCTATCTTTAGAGAGGAAGGGATGGAGAGAAGGAGAGAAATATCAGTGTATGGTTGCCTCTCCTGTGTCCCCTGCTGGGAACTGGCCTGCAACCCAGGCATGTGCCCTGACTGGGAATCAAACCTCGATTCTTTGGTTTGAAGGCCTGTGCTCAATCCACTGAGCTACTACACCAGCCAGGGTGGAACTATTCTATATTAAAATCCTATTTTAAGAATTACAAAAAATTAAATGTATTCAGCACTCCTTATGTGTTGATGAACTATAGCAGGAAAATCACTCCTACGCTCCTGTGGATTCAAAATGAGTTTGCATGAGGACATTTCTTAAGTTCGTCTGTAAATTTCAATCACCAGAATGGTCCCTTCCACCTGATGGAGGCCCCTTTTGAAAGCCTGAGGTATTCTAAATGAAAAACACAACAAAACTTTCATGTTGTATTCAGTAAGTAATACTCAAGATAAACAACTTTTTTAAATGCTGAATAATTTATAGTAGGTTATATATTTAATCACACAATTAGGCAACACTTTAGGAAAACCACACCTCACTCTGAAGCTGTGTCACTTCTCTTGCGAAGACACTATCAATTGTGGCTGGCATCTGTTTATACAGAGAATTGGAAAGGTCTGCCTTAATAGTGCCTTTGTATTTTGCCTGGGGAGGGGAAAGGAAAATAAATAAATAAATGTTCCTCCACTGTGAATACTGAAAGAGAATAAAACCAAACTTCCTTTAGAAATAGAATTAATTAAAAAATCTGAAGAGCATTTTAATCTTTGATACTAGACCTGATGAACATATTTTGGAGAAAGATAAACCCAGTTTTATCATGAGAAGGCTTTAAGTGAGACACAGAAGAAAAAAAAGACTATTTTCCTATTTAAACCCATGTACATTTCTAAAAGTAAATCTACCTGTGTGTATTAATGGTTCCATATAAACATATGGATCGGCAAAGAAAAATCTGAGAGCAATGAGACATTTGAGTCGTTTCAAAAAACACGAGCTGTTAGGAGGCACTGTCTAACCTGGTGCACAGGACAGAGCGCCTTTATTGGTCTTGTCAGCCTCCTCCCACCACGATGAGGGAGGAGGTGTGTTTCTGCTCTTTCTGTGCCTTCACACCTCCAGTCGGCACTGTTCGTAAGTGACCTCCATCACGACTCTTACAGAAAAACACTCATTCACCAGCTCCTCTTGGGAAGATTAGGTTCAAAGTAATGCAACAGATTGCCTACTCCCATGTTTTCATTCTGCAGTTAACTCCTTCAGGGAAATGAATACATTGATAATTAAGGACCTCAAGAATTTCTCTGCACAAGAGAAATAACAGCTAACTCAAAGAAATAAAGCCACATTTTGCCACATTCCGTCGAAAAGGTCCCTGATATGACTCCCACTCAGTACTAGATTTGAGTATTGAATTATTGAGCATGTCTCCTGTTTAAACTTTGTGTTTCTACAATTCTTTGGATTTGGATAGTTAATTTTAAAAACTTACCCAATTTTTCTCATACTATTTTCATGTTAGCAAAAATAATCCTAAGACTATCATGTTGATCTTTTTCCAACATTTGAAACGGTAGAGGTCAGCCATTTTATTCATGCTCTTACCAAGTTCATCTCTTCTAAGTGATCCTTTCACAGACTTCAGAAATGCCTCATCACCAAAATCACTGTTAACTGCTCTTTTCAATGCAACATATATGGTGGTCATAAATGCTCTCAGAAAGACACTACATGGTTTTTCAGCTGGAAAATACATGTAGCACACTTCTCATTCTGTGGTCTTATAACTGGATCTCTACTGAGCCAATTCTACTCAAAACCAGTTTTAACTAATTTAAAATTAATTAACCAAAAGTGCCATATTTTATTTAATCAGCTGGTAAATTTTACTTATTTTTAAAATTATATTAAAAATGTATAACTAGTCAGTCTGTTAGGAAATAAAATATGAAATATCTAAGACTATTCTGACAATACTTTTTACTTATCGAATAAAAATATCTTATCAAGAGTAATTCTATATAAATAAGAAAGGTCTGGAGTTAAAACACAGGCATATATAATAAAGCATATCAACCACAGACAGTAAAATATGTCAATTTACATGAGTTAATTGATAGTGCATAGAATTACAAAATTATATACATATTTCCAACTCAGTGGTGCTTTTGAAAATATTATTCTTCAACTTCAATACACAGATTTTTATCTATATATAAAAAGAATATGTGAGCCATTTTGCAAGTTTTTGATAACTTACCTCAGAAATAAAAGCACCGATATTTTTTACATGGTTTAACATAGGAGTGTCTGTCACAAATGTACACTTGTCCTTAGATTTTTTATACTCTTCTTTATAATGGATCTAAAAGAGAGAACAATTCACACAAGAAGAGGAAGAAGGAAAACAATTTCAATGATCTATTGCTGAACAGAAGAACTAACTTGAGAAAACCCATTTTCTGAAGTAAATACTCAAATGTGGACTGATACGCAAAACAAGCTAAATCACATAAACTGATATCCAGCACAGAACAGCAAAAATGATGAGGCATAATAAAGAAAGCCTCTGTTTTAGATAAATGAGGATGTGGTTACTATCAAGAATCATGTGTGTTAGCCCCAGGAATACGAAGTTCTGTTGCCAAGTTTGTTACTTTTAAGCACTAACCTTAACAGTTAAGCCTATGGTCAAACAGAAATTTAGGGGCCGACCTCTACCTATAAAGCAAGGAATCATCAGGATAGATGTAACCATTTAAGAAGTAGAGGCAGAAATTAAACAAATGAAGATTACTGTTACATTAGCACTATTACCTAGACCTAATAGATTAGAAAAAGGGGCTTAAAATTAAGGCCACCATGGGCTTCCGTTACTAATTCCACCAAAATCAAACGTACTCAATTTATGAGCGCCCACAGGCATCCCATCCTCCTCCCTCAACAAGAGTAGAGCCTGCCCAGAAAGTTCATACACGGTGGTTGTGATTTCAGAATGACCCTCATCTGCTGTGAGTAAGCAGATGAGCAAGGAGAAGATCAGAGAGGCCCTGCTGAGCATGCTCACTTCTCCCCTTGAACTCACTAATAAAATGAGTCACTCCTTCCACTGTGGGGAGAGAGGCCAGATTGTTATTTCGGAGAAAGATCTGGCATGGACACAGGAGCCGAAAAAAAGTTAGGAATTATGGAGAAGAACCTAAAATGTATTCCCACTGTCACACTAATTGTCACCCTAATCTGAAAAGTGGGGAGCCAAAATTTATGACTAGTGGAGAGGACAAAGATATTTGCTAAAAGTTGTATCACCCTCTAAAAAAGTCACGTTTATCTACCCGAGGCTGCAAATACCTAGGCTGAAAAAGGGTTCTTTGGTCTAATTATAACCTAAAAGTAAAGTTTAATTCTATGTAGTACCTGGTTGTTAAAAGGACGTGACTAACACTGATTTACACACCACATTACATCGGGATTTCACCATATGCAAAGCTGATCTGAAGGGCATTATCTGACCATAAGCAGATTTGAACACTAAGTAACATTATTTCAAAATAGCATATTGCACCACTCTGACTCTTAGATATTATATGCCTGCCACTTTAAACATTTGCTTTATTCATGAAATCAACATTAGAACATATTTATCTTATCTGTGCAGTAAATTACTTTTTTTCTTCTCAGAGATTAGCCATAATTTTAGGCCTCTGCAAATCGCCCTCCTCAGTCACTAGTAATTAAACCGTTAAAGGCAGTAAGATAAATAGTAGGCTATTTTGATCATAAAGGGGGGGGAAGTATCCCGATTATATAATAAGTGTGAGAGAAAATAACCTGTCATTAGGCTTAAGTCTGCCTCATTATTTTTATCTTTTGCCACCATCTTTTCCCTTTCACACTCACATTCCTCACTGCCTGGCATGTGCTGGGCCACAGGCCTCCTGATAAGCTCTGACCTGAGCAGAATGTTCAGGAAGGCAGCAGGGATAAGGGTGAAGTACTTACTTCCTTCGATATGCAGGCAAAAGGTTCATTCTTAAGTGTGGTCTCCATTCCTTTGTTTGGTCTTTATTTAAGATACACACACACTTCTAACTTCTAATGAATTATACAATATGAATGGCAATAGCACATTATCTTACATTTTAATACAAAAAAAAATGTCACCTGGTAGTACCCTTCCTATACCAGAAGAAGACAGATAAAAGGAAACCAATGGCTGGCACAAAATCTTCAGTAAAATGAGAATTGCTCAGTGGACAACCATTTCCTAATACAACGGTGTATATATTCCTAAAACAATTATGGCTCTATCTCTTAGATGGACTGCCTATCCAACCCCTCTTTTTCTTAATAAAAGAACCCCAATGTATTTATTAGAGTGGCCAGACCCCTCCCCCAGCCCCAGAGGACAAATTGCTCTAAACCAGGCATGGTTTGCTCATGCCCCTTGGTGAGCGATTGGCCTAGGGTGGCCAGGTGCCCAGCTCTGGTCACAAGACATTGCGGAAGCTTCCCAGAAGTGTTCTGGCATTACTGGTGTACAGGGAGAGACTTGCTGGCATTGACCTTTGACACTTTGCCCTTCCACCTTTTTCCTTCCCAGTCAAAGGGTACAGCAGCAATGATGTCATTATAAGGGAGTAAGCCACCATACTAATTTTGACAGAGCAAAGGAAAAGGAATTTGAGAAACCAATAGCATCAAATATGCCAAGACTGGACACCCTACCTGCAGGCTTCATGTGCGGGGGTGAAAAAAACCTATTTGTTAAACCTGTGTGCCATGGTGCTCCTGCTCCTTGCAGCTCTCTGCACGCACAACCACTACATCATGCCAGTTATGTTCGGACTGAGAAAAAACGGGCAAAGTTGATGACTTGATGATCATTAACATGACCTTTCTGCTTATTTACTTTCTGCTTTGACCTCACTTGTTAATCCCACCATGTCTCAACTGCCACGAGATGGCGCTTCCTTTTACCCAGCCTAGTTTCTTTCTTGGTAGGAGATTAGCAAACGGCTGGAAGTGGATGACAGATGTAGAAATGTGTGAGCACCCTTCCTTTCACAAGCACTCTTAACCAAAAGTACCTTGGAAAGTCTTTTCACAAGTGGAGCCACACTGCTAAATACAGTAAACCCTGGAAGAAAGAACTGGGTTCACTGCACCTGTTAACCGGGCGCTCACAGCCCAGGTTGCCCCCGGCCCAGACTATCCAACACATTCAGAGCTTCCTCCAGAGAGGCAACGACAGATCTAACGCTTTCCGCACTGTAAGGATTTACCCATAATACACAGTGCTCTTTACCCTGGGAAATGTTCTTTCTGCTGCACTGCACATGAACACCCTAAAAAGGTTCGAAGTCACCGAGTCAGAGGTGTCCTGCAGATGTGGCCAAACTTGCCCTGCAGAGACTTTATGCCTAATTTACAAGAAACATACAAACAATCATCTTTAACCTAATATTTTTATGGTTATTAAACAACCATAAAGTGACAAATGGTCACTAGATCTATGATTCTAACTGCTAAATACAGTCAATAGGTTTGATTTATTCAAGGGATTGACTAGAGAGTTGACCAACAAGATAGAATAGCAGAGAGGGATCATCTGTGGGAAATAAACAGCATGACTTAGTTAACAGAAAAATAACAGAGGTGGCCTCAGAGGACCAGGCACTGTGTTCAGGACTGGGAAGCGAGTTATATAGAGGGAGACACCACCAATGGGCATGGCAAGGACAAAGCAGAAACTTGGCGGGGCAAAGAAAACTGGAAAATGCCTCATTCTGATCCCCAAAGTGAAGCCACCTGATCTGAAAAATGTAGAATTCTAAAGAGTCCAGGCCTGCCAGGACTTCTCTCTAGACCAATCTTGCTGAACATTTTAATGAACTATCTGGCAGTGACATGATACAGCAAGGTCTGCAGGTCTGCTGCTGACCCCAAGCCCTCAGGGAGAGTGAAGAGTCAAACTGAAAGAGCTAAATGGCAGGCAACTACAGATGACATCCATCCATGGCAAGGTGAAAACCATTCAAACTACCATTAAAACTTGATGAGCTCTACATAATCAGCTGTAAGTCACAGATTAGCACTGAAAATATCTGAGAAAGATGTCTATAGAGCTTGGTCTAATAGTTCTTCGCAGGCCCCCAGCCCAAGAAACTCTAACTACCGTCACAGAGGGTGCATGGAGCAAAAGGAAACATCATCCCACCCTACTCATGACCACGGGCCATGCATATCCACACTGCTGTGCACAGCTCTGGTTATCACACCCCAATTAAGACACATGAGAGTTAGAAGAGGTCCAAAGAGGAATGGTTGGAATGATGATGGAGGCAATGTAGAAAGGCTGCTCCTTGAAGAGAAATCCACGAAGCTACTCTTTTCACCTAAAAAAAAATGAAGCAGAGTGACAAGTGGCTATCATCCAGACTCTGGACTTAACCAGACCTAACCCTGAATTTTGTCCTCACCCCTGTCTAGCAGGTGACCTTCAGCAAAATAGTCTTGGGTTGCACCACCTCCGAGCTGAGGCTCACAGAACCAGTGTCACAGAGTATGATGAGGTGTGAGGAAGGCTTGGCACACAGCAAGAGGAAGGACATCGTGGGGGCCAAGGCTTGGGAATCAGACAGATCATGGTTTAAATCCCAGGCCTGTGGCTCACTAGCTGTGTGATTCAATCCACAAGATGTAGGACTCTAGCAAGGAAGCAAACAATACACCCACCTCTCTTGGTGATGCAGGCTGCAGACAGACTGCCTTCAGACAGACAAAAAGCCTCAGATAAACACATGGATATCCCTTACAGATATGAGGAATTAGAAAACAAAATTAAGGGACTTAAAGGTTTGTCTTTAAATTGAAGTTTGAGACCAGGGAAAAGACAGGCATGCTAAATTAAATGTGGACACAAACAGACAGGCACTGTCAGGGGCAGAATCTCCAGAGACCTGCCTGGAACGCCACTGAACTCAGGGCAGCAAGTCATCCTTATTTGTATTTGTTTTAGCCCTGTGATTGGTGCAACCTCGCATATACATTTTAGACAAGCATTTAGTTGGGCAAACAATGTAACAAAGATAACGTCAAATTTAAGTTCATATGTTCTATATGAAAATGTTGGTAGAGTTACTATCACTAATATTAGTGTAAAATTAATAACATAAAGGTATGATAACCTGCATGGACATCTACAGTGACAGAAGACACAGCGTCGTGGCTAAGACAGAGTGCTTTGTGTTTAAGCCCTATTCCCCACCACTTAACTGTGTGACCTTGGAAAGCTACTTAGCCTCTCTGAGCCTGTTTCTCGCCTCTAAAATGTGAAAAACAATAGAACCTAGCTCATAAGCTTCATTCAATGAGTAGCGCACAGTATTCAATGAATCTTAACTATTGTTAATATTATTGTTATTACTGTGGTCATTTCAATATTATTATTACAGTTTACAATGAACTTTCAAATACAGTAGCTCATAACTATCATTAAATAATAGCACAAAGAAATAATTTAAAATTTAAAATTTAATTATATCACATGTCAAATATATGGAAAGGGGTATGATTCCCACCATCCTCTGGCTCTTTCTGACAAGTCCCTTTCACAAACAGTTCTCTGACAACTTTTAACGAGAGCATCTCAATTCCCATCCCTAATGAGCAATGCTTTTCTTTGTGCATCTGAAGTTTTAGTTACTTACTGTAAAAACATATGAGCTAATCCTACAATTCTAGGATTCCCTTTAAATATAATATAAACCAATCCCAATTAATGAAAAAAGTCACAACAAAAATTCTCCTTTTCATTCCTATCATCATCAACATCATCCAGTCCAAAGTTCTTAACATGCAGCTCAATCATCCATTAATTCTAAGTTGGCGGTAGGTGTTATGGGCACATGGGTACTACATGCATTTACTCTGGTTTGGAAAACTACTGTACTCATCAGAGTCCTCAAAAGGTCCCCAAAATGTTTTTTTAAATTATTCACTCATAGAGATCCTCCCAAAACATATTAGATCACTATACAAATGGTGACAGGCTTTGGGTTGTTGAAGAAATATGCTCTGAATTCCATGCTTTATGATTTCATTCCAGAATGACAGTGAAATCTGCAGGGACAAGATTCTGGACTGAGAACACAAATACCTGCTCCCACAGAAATTCTCTGTGTGGGTGACCTCGGGGAAATCACCTGAAATTCCTCCACTCAGTTCCATGATCTGGAAAATAACTGGGTTTTGAGAGATGGTTTGGGGATTTTCTCTCCTGCTCTATGATTCTATGGTATGATATTCTATGACATGCAATACAAAATGGGACAAAAATTATTTAAGCCACTTACATCACTAACGAGTTTGGTGCATTTTCTGGCCAATTCCATGCTCAGGTCTTCGATAACAGGCTTAAAGAATACCTGTCCAAAACAAAGGGAAAGGAAATATATTTCTAACCATGAACGTAGAGGAACAAATACCTTTCTTCAGCAGGTGCTTGCCCACTCACCTTGTCTTCTTCATTTTCTTCTTCCTCTGTTTTTTCCTCTTCAGTTTCATCTTTTACATCCTCAAATACAGGAACCCTCATTTTCACTCTGTGTGTGTGTATATATTCTTTTGAACTCACCAGTATAGCATCAGTCTATGTAGTACAGTACCCTTGAGATCTTAGCATCCCTGGTATTCTGGTATAAATGACCTTGCCCAGGCCTCCGCTCTATTTAGCTCACACTTCACTCTCCTTATCACAACTCTGTGTTAGTGGATGGAACAGGATCCTGGGGGTTGGCCAGGGCTAGCTTCCCAAGGGGAAATAACATTTCAACAAGCAAAATTCATTTTTATGAACTTTAAAAGTCAGCATTCTTTTAACTTATTATGAAATTCAAAAGAGATCATTTATTTATATTTCATTAATTCAATTCATTCATAAAAGAATTTGAAAAAGGCTTCAAAATTCTGGGGAAAGCACTCAGTTGTAACACTCAAGATAGCACAGTCAAAAGCCTGTTATCTTAAAGAATTCCTCAACTCCTAAATAAAGCTTTCACCGAAATGTCAGACATACCTCTGATTTGGGATGGTGAATCTGGATCATTCAAATTTATTTCATTAATGTAAGTTAAATTTTTCATGAGATATAAATGTACTTCCCACATTCTAAAAAATACTCACTTTACATTAGCTGATTAAAGCCTAGTAATTTATTATGAAAAGCTCTTTGAACCCTTCAAAGAATTTATTCTGAGTTAATTATGTTAATCCTACACTGCTAGTGTATGATTTTACTTGTAAACATCATTAAACATGAGAAGTTGCAGTTAACACAGGTTGATATATCATTTAAGAATTCAAAACAATACTAGTCATCTCTTTCAATTCTGCCCATCATGTCAATTTTTACAAATATGCTATTTATTTGTATACCCTTCAATGCATACTACATACTCAGAAAAGCTTGGAAAAATAACCTAGAACAATATTTATAACGTGATATATGTCATCCGTTAGATAATTAAACTATAATTCTCAAAACAAACCCTTCACGTTGATGTAGGTAATCTTAAGACTCTATCCAACTCATAATTTATCAACTTGCTTATTTAAATCCTAGGGTAAATTAATATTTATACAGCCATAGCACATAAGCATTGCACATTAAAAATCACCCTATGGTGAATAATTAAACTAATTATATAAAATACAACTTTATTCAAAATAATACATCATTTTTAATAGCCAAGTATAATTCTGTTTTCTCTTGATATCCCATCTAGTTTTAAATTTATTTTTTAATTCCCTTGGCCTTGCCTAAACTAAAAATCCTGACAAGAAAAATTTCTATATGGTCATCATGTACAGATATTTCTCACATCGTGTTCCATGAGAATAAAGTTCCACTGCGATTCTGAATGGAAACAAGGGGTTTCTTAAAGGACCGTGTTTGGGGGCACCTGTGCGCTAATCTCTACCCCTGCCACTAGAGATCCACACACCAGTGACACACTGGAAGTTCTGAGAAGATGCACATTCAAGAAAAGTGTTTAAATTTGCTTAACGCAGCACTTTCTAAACATGAAATCCTATCCATCTAGTCTAATCTAAACTACTTACCCACCTAACTACCTATTTTTTAATGATATCTGATACTCCAACTAACACTTCTCTGTGAAATATTACTTAGGGAAACACTGTTCTATTCCAAGAAAATAAGTCATGTTCTAGAAGAATCATTGGTCTCCTCATGAAACAATTTTTTGACACAGGCTAACTTAACAGCATCAAATATCATGCTTATAAACAAAATACCAAAAATAAATGTCCCAAGGGTAGTGAATTTGGAAAACTTAAGTTTTAAGTTTTAACTTTAAAATAACAGCCTTGTCAGGCTAGTACAGAGAAGTCTACAAGGAAATTTCTCCTTACATTAATTATAGTTGTTCCATAAAGGAGCAGAATAGGTGGGTTCTGATTGATTCCCTCAAGTCCTCTGCCAAAAGACTATTCTATAGAAAATTGATTCCATTACCTTTACTTGGAAATAGAGAAGAGCATTTTTCATAATCTTTTCTTGCAAAGTTTTAGGAGTGTAGGGAGAAAATATTGCCACAGTGGCTTAAAATGCATCTGTTGGCTAATGTTTAAGGTGACCATACTTGCATTCCTCGTGGTAACACCTATTCTCCATGGTGAATTGCCTTCATCAGACTTCAAGGGCTGCTTTTCCTCATTTCCATCAGGTAATAAGTTCTTACTGATTCTTCACCGCACTGGAAAAGATCATGCACAAACATTTTGAAAATATAACCAAACACCATATGCAATGTGAACATAAATTTTCCATTTGCAATTTTAGAATCAAAATTTTAAAGACATGGGTATCCTTAAGAAATCAATCCTACTAAAGACTTCTCTTTTACAGAGGGCAAAATCATGGTCAAAAGAAATTAATTATGCGTCTTATTCACAGAGTTATTCAGTGGAGCACCAGGACCAGTACTTAACGAGAGCCCTATATTCATGCATTCAAACACTTGTGGTTATGCCAGGCACTGTGCTTGCTGTTAGAGACAAAGCAGAAAGTAAAATATACTTAGTGCTAAGATAAGGCAGAAAATGTAAAAAGTAGTAAAGATCCTTACCAATACAAGTTTTTTAAAAGTAGTAAAGATCCTTAAAGTAGTAAAGATCCCTTAAAAAGTAGTAAAGACCCTTACCAATACAAGTTTTTATCTATCCAATAAAGGTACACAGTTCCAGGAAAAGCATTTGAAGGGTGCAACTCTATATCATCGATATGTTTTTAAAGGCCAGAAGGGCCTCATACAGCATGACTAAAGCTCATGCCTGTTATAATACAGAAGTCTTTGGTCTCACTAGGGTTTGATACTTATGGGTAAGCAATGCATTTCCATAGAAAGTACAGGGTCCCTCCAGTAATTCAGGTCTCCAGGGATACAGCCCCTGGCCAAGGAAACATTTCTATACTATCACAAGTCATGCAGTGCTCCACAGTCTCAGTGTTGTTAAGGTCACATGAGACAAGAATGTCTTGTGTTCTGACAAATGTTTCATACTTATTTCACTTTCCCTCTTTTCTTTTCTTTACAGTGATAGAAACTGTGTTTTTTCCCAAGATGGTGCTGAGTACTTCGCAAACAAAAATCCATGATAAACAATTGAAATATATTGAAATTCAATTCTGAGTTGAGGAACACTTAAGAGATAAACTGATTTTTTTAACTTTAAAATTAATTCAGCATTCTTATTATAAACCATTTACCTTAAATGGCTAAATGAAAGAGGAGTTAGTTCATCTGACTTGTTTCCCTGCCACAGGTATTTTTGTCTGTTTATTTGTTTTGATTGTGGTTTGTTGTTGTTTATTGGCTTGGCTTGGTTTTTTTTATGACTGTCACCCTGAAGGTTCTCAGTTTAATTTCTGGTTACTCTAATTTTGCTTCATGTATGTCCTCATCAACCAGAATCTGTCCAAAAGAGAACTTTACTAATACATGAAGGGGGAGGAATCATTTCTTATAACAAGAAATGTAAGCTCTCTAGGGCGGTTTGTTCGTTATAGAAGAGTTTTGCTTAACATTAGCCTCATCTGTTTTTACAATTCACATTCACTAAGCCTATCCTCTTTTTAGTGGCTGTTTCATTACTATTTGTTAATTCAAAATCAAAAGAATATAAAGCAACTTGAATTAATTGTCACTCTTACCAACTATGCCATTAAAATGAGCTTTAATAGAGTGTTTTTCTGTGTTCCTATTCCCGTTTTCACAAATACAGATCCTACTCACAAATGAAAACCATGTATCTACACTGGTGTTAGAGGAGAAAAACAAAAAACAAAAAACTACAAATAACTTTTGACACAATTTCCAAGTTGAGTGTGGTTGGGATGCCAAATTTAAAAATATGTACTCTTCTAAATATTTGGACAGAAAAAAAGTATTCTCGTTCAAAGTCTATATTAACATAAGCACCCAGGAAACTGAAAGACTAGTTTAATTTGCTACTTACTTGAGATATTAGTTCAGTCTTAACAACAATAAGGCTAACACCTCAATCACTTCTACAGTCCTTCACACCAAGAGAAAGAAGCCCATGGTCTGAGTAGCCTCTATATGGCCGGTCGCCAGAACTAAAGGATTACATGGGATCAAACAGCTTGGCTCTCCCCCAAAGCAGCCTTTGTCTGCAGTTTTGTGTGAGAGGTCAGGAAAAATTGTGAAAGACTTTGAAACTGGCAAAAAAAAAAAAAAAAAAAGAATTGGAAAAGATTACCTTGTGTCTTATCTGGTGTTACCTTCTGGCTAATTTGGCCTTTCACTGTCTTTGAGCAATTTTACAACTCTATAAATTGTTGAAAACTGTCTTTGAGCAATTTTACAACTCTATAAATTGTTGAAAACTGATAACAATGCTAATGATGCATCATCCACACAAATGCAAGTTCACTGCTTCCTAGGGAAAGCAATTGATTGTTGCCTTGTTGATAGACCCTTTGGACACCTACTTGTAAATTCATTTCAGCATTCCTTATTATTCACTTATGTGTAGTCCTTCAAATTTACCTTTGAACCCCTTGTAACATCTTACTAGTACCCTCATTAATGAGTTAAAATCTTTGAAATGTGTTCATTTTATGTTTTATGAGGATCATGATTTCACCATTAAAAAAAAATCCTTTCACAGATACAAATGATTTAATCATCCTCACTTCTTTGCTTTAACAATCAAACAAAAATAGAAAGGGAGAAGGCGCTGTTCAGTAAAGACCAATTCTCTAGACTGTAAATATAGCTGCAACAATTCTTGGTGTTTATTGACACTAGCTTTTTGTTTTGTTTTGTTTTCAGGTCCGATCTCATTTGACTATTGGCAAATGCCACGTGTGTGCTAGTGTATACGTACACTCACTCACAGAACATGCACACACACAGAACACACACATGCACTCAAGCACACTTAATTCAGCACAGATGCCAGTTTCCTCTTGAAAAGCACACAAGGCTTCAGTAAATGCAAAGACATAATTGCTTCTCACATCTGGAAAAACTTAAATATGAGAGAGGATTTATTGAAGAGGCTCTTTGCTTGGCTGTCAACACTGTATCAGGAGCCAGAGAGAGAGCAAGCTTGATCAGTGCTGGCAATCCTTTAACCCTTCAGAGAGAGATGTTCTACTAATTAATTTATAACATGTCCTGCTTACATGATTTATGAAGTTTCTGAAAACACAAGAAAGTAAATAATTTCCTAGTAACTAAGAAAGAAAAGCTGTTTTTGTCATGTTTCCAGGGGCAGAGGGGAAATTGTACATTGAAATTTGAAAATAATGTGGAAGTCCTTTTAGGATTTACAGGAACTAGTATAAAGGACACATGGACAACAACTAAGGGGTGGAAATGGGAGGGAGGTGGGGAGCACTGGGGGGTGGGCTGGGATGGGAGTAAAATACAGAAAACTGTACTTGAACAACAATTAAATTTTAAAAAAAGAAGGAAAAAAAGGAAAGGCTTTGGGGTTGTAGAGCATATTGAAAAAAGCCATTAGAACAATAACATGTAAATATACACAAAGCTAGACAATTTAGTTCTTTACAGAGGAAGTGTAATAATATTTCTAAAAGGGAAGTAGAAGAGTTATACGAGCTCAGAGAAAGAAAAAAATGAAGAGAAACTAAGGAATGGGCAGATCTTCCCCTAGAGAGGATATTTAAGCTGGAATTAGGTAAAGTGATGGGGTATAGGGAAGGCATCCAAAAAGCATTAATAAAGACCCAGAAACGAGAGCTGCAGAAATAAGAGCTTCAGCATCGCTGGTGCATACAATGGAGAGAGACAAGGGCAGCGGAGCATCAGTAACTAATGACCTCAGGGAGAGCTAGATGAAGCCAGTGTGGACCATGAACCCTTTATAAATAACAGTTCCTGGTCAATCAGCTATGGATGGAAACAGCGGGTCTACACCTACTCTACCCCCTTCATATACCTGAACTTAATTTTTACTCCTTCGTTTTATCATTAGCCAATTGAAATATTCCTCAGGTACGCTGGGCTTCATGAAAATGCACAGTGAAGAAATTATTCCCAGGTTTATCAGTCTAGTGAAGGTTGTAGTCAAGGGAAATTCACTTACATATATCCTCAAATAAATGGAAACTGTTAAATGCATTTGTAACATGAATTTCACACAACTATACAATTACAATTTTATTATTGAAATGCACCTATTTTTTTCTACATTTTACTAAATAAGTTCTATTAACATTTCTCCTTAACCTTAAGTGACCAATTACTACACCTAAGTTCACTAAGGATTTCTTCTATCCCCAAACCATGATTTCATCCCAGTCAAACCAGGGGAAACAGCACAACTGATGGCCACAAGTGCACCACTTTTGAAGCACTAATTCCTGGGTCTCATATCAACTGTTTCCACTGAGTATTCTCAAATGTAACTCAAAATATAAGCGCATATCAAAATAAGAGCATAATTAAAGTAAATGTGCTGTTTAAATGTGCCATTTAGAACAGCTTTAAGATGTTTTATTTTGTTTTAATATATTTTCTTGATTATGCCATTACAGTTGTCCCATTTCCCCCCCTTCATTCCCCTCCACCCTGCACACCCCCTCCCACCCACATTGTCCCCCTTTAGTTCATGTCCATGTGTCACAAGTTCTTTAGCTTCTACATTTCCCACACTACTCTTGCCTTCCCCCTATACTTATTCTCTGTACCTTCTCCTGCCCCCTCCTCCTCCCACTCCCCTGTGGCTAACCCTCCATGTGATCTCCATTTCTGTGGCTCTGCTCCTGATCTAGCTGTTCACTTAGTTTGCTTTTGTTTTAGGGTGTGGTTGTTAATAACTGTGAGTTTGCTGTCCTTTCACTGTTCATATTTTTTATCTTCTTTTTCTTAGATGTTTTAAAATAATTGGTGAATAGTGAAAACTAGTTTAATAGGTATTGGTAGTAATTTCTCACTGAGGACTCTTTTTGTCATTTAATATGTGTGTGTGTCTATCTTCATTTACTCATTTCACAAATATTTCTTGTGTGCCTTCCTTCTATGGAACAGGAAGAGATTTTAACCTCTTCAGATTATCCACGAAATAAAAACAACAAAAATCCCTACCCATCTCCCCTATTTCAATCATATATTCATTCATCAAGTATTTATTGAACATCTACTTTATGCCATGCACTATAAAAGCTTTGTATCGCCAGCATATTGCAGACACTGAATATACA